ATATATGGAAACGAAAAGCAAGGAATAAGGAACGGGCAAACCCTGCTAAACCTTACTTTTCGCTACTGTGTAGTGTAAAATTTCCGCAGCCGGAAAGCAATTATTTTTAGAACGAGTAGTAAGAGGCCAAACCATGTCCATCAAAATATTAGTAGCCCACCACAAGCTCAAATGTGACCTTTATCGTAGTAACATGTTAACAACAACAAATAGCTATAAGACAGCAGGTTCTCTACTGGAGAAAAAATATAGGCGAAGTAAACTAGAATACAAAGGCAGAAGTTTATACTCGACACATAGGATAGCCGGTCACTTACTTTGCCGGTGTTTCATCAAGTTCAACATGAAATGCCCTCTCCTCATTCCCAACGCCCCTATAAAAATCACTCGTCATCGTCATCTTTATCGTCATCATAGGTGGAGAAATATGCCGAAAAGTTGAATAACCAGCATTGATTCACACCTTGTCTTCCACGCGTTCTGCATACCTTTGGTAGTGCGATCGACATTGACGCGCGCGAGGCAGACGCTCAAGACATATATGGTCGAGTATATTTAGGTTGCCGATGCCGACATTTGGGCATTGCTTCCGAGGCTCAAGCGAATGCTTCCATGCGCAAGACAACGTCAGCGCTAGTGAGCGAACAAAGCAAACAGTCGTCGGCTGGTTTCATTGTCTTCTTCCTTCTGTTTGGTTTTCCTTTTCCATTTGCCTCCTTCGACCCATTTTTATGTCCTTTTTAGTCGCATCGAATATAAAAGGATCATTGCTAGGGGTGTCTGTTTTTTCATTAGACGTAGTCAAAAGCTTTGCCTTTTTCACGAGCTAGCGGATGTTCCATTTACTATATTAAATTTTTGCTTTGGTTAGCTGATTTCACTGATTGTTAGTTCCCATGGTTTATTCTAAATACCGAGCTTAAAATCTTGGATAATCACTCAATTATGTTGGGTTACCTTAGTTTCTTTGCTGTGTTTACGATCGTGCATCAACAGTAACAGAAAATATAGCAACGCCATCAACCGCATCGAGTGAGTGGTTGCAAACATTTATTGATGGGACGTTCATTTTTGCTCGGAATCATGATATCAATTTTTGTCGGATAAAATATGATTGTTCCGAGATATGATAAGGTGAAAAATATTCTTCACTTTATGATCAACCTTTTTCTATCAATAATTATATTGATGTTGAAATTGCTAACCTAGAAAATGTACGATGTGGACTGAAAGCTAAAGATGTTTATAGTAAGTTTCATACCCAAAATGTCGAAGAAACTCCGACAGGGGCATAACAAATCAAGAAATATCTATGCTCAAATTTTTATAATTTACAAATTTTTAAAAATCCATGATACTCTGATCATAAAAATATAACGTGCGTGCTGAACAGTCCCAATAACGTATCGAGCGTACCTGAAGGCGCATTCTCACTACGCCAACAACACATTGACAATGATAATATCAAGCGTTAATCACGAATTATCCAGCAACTGCTTGAGTATTTGACTACTCACAGCTTCGTAAGACCGACTCATGAAATGAAATTACTGAAAAAAGTGTCTCTAAACTGCGTATCCTTTTGATTAGGATCAGTAGTTACTGACAAGTTACCTTGACTGACTTAAAATTAATGAGGGGAGCAAGACGGGACTTTTCCTGAATGTAAACCTGGCGTTTTTTACCGTTTATTCATGAATTTTTATTAGCGTATTTATACCGTCTTGTTTTACTCGGACTCTGCCCGGAATCTGCACTATACCTGTAAAATCGAGATATGAGAATTTGAGCTTAATTTATATTCACTACCAAACGCTATCTATATAGGCGGAAATAAATTTAGTTGTAGGTTTATACTGTCATGACTTAATTTGGCCTATACAGCATTTTCTTGTAATATTACCTAGTATTAACGGATGAAGCATTATTCCCGACAGACAAAACACGTTTCTTATAAGATTATCGGGGACCACCTGTGTTGCCGGGTGTTGCTGTTAGCGCCACGGTCGCCGCATGAAGCATCTTCCTCATGCACACCAAAGCATGAAGCAGCTAGGATGTTACGAACTAGGCCGCTGAGAACAAAACCTCAAAACGTTTGCCTGCGGCAACAGTTTCACAGGTTACCCTTCGTCTTTTAAGTAATCACATGTTATACATACAACATTATTGTTGCTATACCGTCACTTCGGCCGGTGTGCATCTATAACAGGTGCCACTGTGCGCCGGGAGTATTAGTTACCGTTCAGATTACTGCTGAGGAGACCGTAAAGCATTCTCCTGTTGTGCTTTGTCGCCTGGACGGGCCTGGAAATGGGCTGGTGTTTTTCCGGCAGTCGAGTGCCAAAAGACACGCTTTCTGCATTTGACTTCTACAGTTGAGCATCAAATTGGTTAGCAGTTTTACTCGTAGTCTGCGTAGGCAGCTTTCAGATGTGTGCATTCGCTAAACCCTAAAATTTTTCTTACCTTCCAACCCCTATTGGCATAAATGAGACCATCCCATTGTAGTAATAACATATCAAGTATCATATCAATGTGTGCACGTATTGCGTAATTAATGAATTTCGGTCTTCGCCAAAACGAAGACCTAATTTCTATGCAAACTAAAATCTACACAAATTGTACAGTTTGTATAGATTGAGTGCCGATTTGGTAGCTTCAAGGTAACGCAATTTTCTATTTGATTGATGGATAGAATCAATCAGATTAAGTTTGTATTATATGACTTGAAATGGACCGCGAACACAGATCCTTGATAATGGCCAACATTAGCCTAAGCCAGGCCCAGTTGAATCAAATTGGTCAGCAAGCCCATTCTGCCTTCCGGCAAAATGCCGCATGAAAACAGTAACTTGGCGTGCAAATAAGTTGCAAAGCAACGTCGTGAACCAGACTGAAGATCTCACATCCGCTAACTTTCGACCGTAACTTTCTCCAAACGAAAATTACAATTTCTTACAGTGCATTGAGTAGAAAAGGGTGCCACACATCAGAAAAAACGAAAACAACTCACGAAACTATAACGTACGATTTTTTTGCTCGTCAATATTTACAACGTTTTCCGCTGCCTAAGGGAAAGCTCGCTTTTATTTACAATGAGTCGTCCGATCCACGCGAACTACCCGTTCAAATCAATACAAGTGTAATGAATCTCCCCTATATTTCCAATCTCAAAAACATTTTCACAAAAATATTTTATTTACTCGAATCCTAAAGGTAGTTTTTTTTTCCCCGCAACTTACCGATTGTATTTCCTAAGTCATCTAGTTTACCCACGGGTCTTCGCCATATAGCTGTAGTCATTTCTTCCAATAGCTCTCAATGTAATACCACTACCTGTAATTTACCCAATGATGATATTGAATAATGAGCACAGTATCATGAAGCAGATCGTTTTTCAAAGGTGACAGACAAACAAAAAGCTAAGAACATATTCGAAGAATATAATAATATAACAAAGGGCATATTCGGCCCTCCATGCAGAATGCGTAAATGAAATGGTGTAGTAAATGAGTGCCTCGGCCAATTTAGACCACGTATATTCAGTCTGGCGCCATACCGGCACTAAGTTTGGTAATAAACATTTTAATAGAAGCGAGAAGCCTTCGACGATTACGCGATAATAACATATAACTGTGATATTGCGAGTTGACTGATCTAGTGGGAATTCGATGTTACGTCTATCCTTGGAAGCAGACGTTAGCCAGGACGTACCTGAAATAGTACTTAGTTCTCTTAAATTTCAGGTTACATAGCATGTTGCAATTATATGTCAATCTTCGTTTAACTGGATCTTTTCAGACTTATTGATTGCTAGATAGATACGAGTTCTTGCTGTATCGGTAGTCGGTTTCTTAATGAGACTTCAGTGTTTACAATGAATCAGTGAAATAAGGGAAGCGCTTGGTCAGATGAAAATTGAGTGCTATCTGAAATAGTTGACGCTTACCAGATCAATCTATTGTTTATTGTTAACAATATATTAATTAATACATTGTTCCGTACGTGTTCGATCTGTTTTTTTTTCAAGATAATTTCGATGCTGATTTTGCTTAATTTTTGGCTGATGTCAGGTACGTGTTCTGGGGTCTATATGGACGAACGATAGTTCGGATACACCTTTGTGGTCTTAAACCGGCACACGCCACGTCTCCTTAAATACATTTGTTATCGTAGAAATGAGTTGAGGACATTTATTCCTAAAAAATCGGTCGCCAAGATAGAATATAGACTCAAACTGCCGCTATTCCAAAGCAGCGCTTTGTCTGTACGACAACCTAATAACGCGTCAAAAAGTCCCAGTGTCTACTCGTTCAGAGAAAATCCTTATCTTCAAATGATTGTCATACATCGAATCATAGTGAGGTTCTCTGACAACACCGACAAAGACTTATTAATAAACAAGTCTCTAAAATCTAGTAAACCAATTGAAGAATGCTCACTTCCCGGACTTCCTTTTGGTTAATTTGGAGACCTACGCGTTATTACTGACGATTCATACCATCGCCAAAATGAATAAAACCAGAGATTCTTCAATAATATATCTCAAAGCTGTCGGAAAAAGTAGTCCGTTAGGAAAAATTTCTATGAGCTAGCCACTTAGCCCCAAAGCGCACAGACGATACCTGAAAGCTCAACTCTTTACAAGACATAAGAGCGCCTGTTTTTTAAAGCTCTTTTTAACTAGATCTCGCTGATATAACGTGATAGAATAAGCAACAAGATCAATAGCGACAATAGCATCATCGGGGCGAACGAACGGGCAAATCACATGTTGTCACAATTGGTAGCCGAACGCAACGGACTGATCGTGCTGAATTAACACCCCGCGCATATTACGCGCCAATGCAAGCTGGAAGTCAAGTTCAGAAAGCACAAAAAATAGTAACAGTTAGTAACCTAACCGGTGCTGATTACTGGTCGAGCCGAACGCGGATGGTGAATAAGGCTTTATCGTCGAACACCGGTGGAGTAAACGGAGGGCAAAAATTACTGCACCTTTGCTCGACAAAAGTATCCGCAACCGCAACGAAAGTAAGACGAACGCAATAGGTACGAGACAAGCCGCGATGGAGCAGTTTGCCCCGCGTTGCGTAAGCGGGACTAATAACAACAACCGCAGCAATAGCAACAGTAAATGCTTCTGCCTGCGCTAAATGTCGGTCAATGCCGATACATTTCGCTAGACGACAAACAAGTCTGTCTTTAGCTATCGCCATGATGATGATGATGATGATCCAGAGGGAGCGATCTGACTATCGTTTGTAGTATCATTCATCTCCACGAAGTGGCGTTTTTTGAAGCGTTTGCCGAACGCTTGCGCCTACCTACAGCTTTTTTTTTTTTTTTTTTTTATAATAGAAGCTACTATGACCCTTCCGCTAATAAAAATACATACGGCCGCCAACGCTACGTAACCTATACAAGCGAAAAAAGTTTAAGCGGATTATCATTTTTTTAGCAACAACAACTACAACTATCGTTATATGCGCAGTGGTCATCAGCAACATGAACAGGGATCGTCAGCGCCCGCTCTCCTTTGCCCGTGATCTTAAGTCTCTGCGTCGGCCTCCTCCTGGTGCAGCAGCGGCAACCGTTGGCGTTGCTATGACGCACGTGTTTGTTGGTCGCGTCTCCAAAATTCGTACGGGTTGAGCGGTAGAATTTTGTGGCGTACCTATCGTGTGCGTGGTGTACTTTCGATGACGTTGCCGCGTTCGCATTTTTAAAGCTACAGCTGCTTGTGGTGACCACTTTGACACCTTTTCAGCACGTGGGAGGCTGGGAGTGCACGATTCTGGCGATACAAGCTACTACTGTTGCCAGCGCCTAATGTTAGGAATTAAGGCTCAACCAAGTGTTACCTTGGCGCGGTAATTTTTTAGTCCGCTTCACTAGTTGTGTAGAACTATCGGAGATTTTGATGGTGTTGTTGTCCCTGCCGCAGCAGTTGCTAGTGAAAATAATAGTCATAAAATTGTAAGAAAGAAGGTACACCAAAATAAGATATGTATTTTTGTGTAATATATTCAGTATTCTATAAATATAGCATGTCGATATGTAGGGGTAAAGGTTACAGAACATATAAAATTTCATTTATCCTTCCTCCGTTACACTTCGAAACTATCTACCCTGGAACATTCAAAGCTAAAATTGAGTAACTTAGACGTAAAGGAGTGAACAAGGGCAATGAGCGATCATAATACGGGTGACATTTATGTTTATTAATATATATATATAGCAAAATGATGAATCCGATTTCAAGTATTATATAGAAGTGCAACATACGTGATCACCTATAACCGATTATATGCGAACAATATGATGTAGCTTATAATGTTATCGCATCAATGTCCATTACTGGCCACGTTAGAATTGCAGTCGATAAAACTGCGCACGCAAGGTCGAGATTAGACCAGTAAGAGCGGCCAGAAACTAGGCGCACATAAAGATTTAATGTTTTGATAACAGTTTTTTTGGTGTATATCAGTCGTACGTGTATGCAGCTGCTAATAGCGTCCAATGCTATCGAGGGTGTCATTGATCCACTGATCGTAACAGCTCGTATGTTCTGTTTTTGAAGTGGACGACTATACAAGTTATTTATATATTTGTTTTTTTTTTGCAAGTTTCACTATTGCAACAAACAGGTGTTTCCCAGAAAGACGCTGTGTTAGACTATGATGTATTGCGGATGTTGTGATGGATGTACGTATATATGGAGTTTTTGGCTTACATAAAATAAATACTCGATAATTCAATCTTATATATATATATATATATATATATATATATATGTACTCAAAAACTTATTTATTCTGTAAAGTATTTCTACTGATAGAAGGAAGTACGATTGTGTATGGGAATATGTTCATATAAGAATGGCGTATGTATATGTACCACATTCTGTGACTGATGATAGTTGATGACCGAACAAATGAAGACCTATTCAAGATCTGATTTGAAGCTCCGGCGAACATTAAACCAACCCGATTATTATTTAGAGCAACATGTTAGCTCTATGAAATTTCAGGACAAATACAGGCAACTGAACATTAAATATAAAGATCATGTTGGGCAAAAGTAGGTTTAGGACTTGAGTCTTCATCATCGAAGAAATAAATTCCTAATTAGATAAACGCTGAATTTCGAGCCGAGCGATACATTGCTTCAACAGTAAGCCTAATTTTGTCCCACATATATATATATATATATATATATATATATATGTATATATATATATGTGCTATATAAACTATGATGTATTGCGGATGTTGTGATGGATGTACGTATATATGGAGTTTTTGGCTTAAATAAAATAAATACTCGATAATTCAAACTTATATATATATATAATATATATATATATATAAGTTTGAATTATCGAGTATTTATTTTAACCAGAGATATATATATATATATATATATGTACATCCTGGTCGTTGTACATGTAGTCCTGAACATGAATATCAGTACATAAAGATTAATCAAAATGTGTGTCATTGAACAAATATATTGAAAAACCGATGCATCGTATCCCAAGTAGCAATTACTGAGTGCCAAGCTTATTATCAATATCACTACCGCTGTTTTGACAACAATGATTGCAAATAATTACAATCAGACACGATGAGAAAAATTCTAGCTAACAAATATAGACAAACTATAATAATAACAACAGCAATAAGTATGAAAATAAAATAATTACTATATTTCACATTTCATGCAAATGTTTTCTCTGGTTAACTATGGCTACTGTAATCTAAAATAGTGAGTTCGCAAATCCCGAAGAATAGATCCAGCCAACTAGATTTAACACATTCTCAAGAGTCGTTGAAAAGATTCTCCAAAAACATCGAAATTAACATCGATTGACTTTGAGTAGGACGCATATAATAACAATCGACATAGGCCTGTTGCCATCAATATTGATAAAGTGTATGGGTAAGCTATTTAGACGAACGAAGAGAGACAACACGAAGAAACTTACTGACCCGGTTTTTTTTTCACGGAGAAACACCCAACGGGGTGACGAGGGGGCTGCCGATATGGGCCGACGGCGCAACTAGGTCTCTCTGCTAATAATCACAGTGCACCGTTCACGTCGGGTACGATGGCGTCGTGTTCACACCGTGTGCCGGCACTGGCCGGGGCCTCGTCTGCGCACTGCTACCTTGTCTATGTAAGAAGCTATAACGGCGTTGGCGCACGGGCCACCCGGTTTAAGAAAAATAGACCTGAGTGCAACCCTCCTTCGCTTCGTTAGCTTAAAAAGATAGAATGATAAGGGCTTGCACCGTGCAGAAGAATGGCCAAAGCTAACGATCCAGAGAAAAAAAAAGTTCGTTTTAGAGCAAAAAACTGTGTGTGCGTGTGTATATGTATGTGTGTTTGTGCGTGTGTGTGTGTGTGTATTCTTACATGTGTACCTATGTTTGTATTTGTGTATATGTGTGTGCATGTGTGTGTGTGCGTGTGTGGGTGTGTGTTTGTGAGTGCGTCGAAGAGAGCCAGAAAGAGAGATGAAGCAGCTGGGCGAAACCGGCGGCCCAAGTGTTACGGGTTATGTTTCTGGATTCTGGCAACGATGCCGCCGGGCGACTGCTGACTTTCTCGGCATCGCAGGGAAAACCCGTAACGGAGAAGGGGAAAAAGGGTGCCTCTAAGTAAATTCATTTTCAGTCCTTGTAAACAATAGCAATGTTGCTCGAACCAATACAGATGGGGACTGCTGCTGAAACTCACATTATTGAAGCTACATTGGGAAATTCCCGTTTTCTGAGAGCCGTCACTAGTCTCTGGTGTAGGTGTTCTTGAGGGAGCTACAACTGTTATGTAGTACGTATCAGACCGAGAATTCTTTTTTGTATAACAAGTCATGTTCTACTCCATTGTATTACAATAATAACAAAAACAAGTAGGCTTCTTTCTGGTTTACGCTGTGTGAAAAGAAAATCTCGTTAAAGTAACTTTGAACTCGAACGACGAGTATGTTCGAAGCTTTCAGAATCAGTTGTCGATTCCTGAAGTGACGATTTTTAAGTATAATACAAAGAAAGTCTAAGGAATATTTAAGTTTTTAGCTTTTCAGGCTGCACAGAACTAACATGGACAACGTTCAGTCGCTGCTTCTCAATAACAGGAAGGTGAAAAACAAAAGTTTTCCAGTTTAGCGGACACAAAAGTCATGCGCAGTCACCTCTTTCACGGCTCTGTTCCATTATATTAATAGGCACATAGACTTTTTTACATAAGTAAGCTCTCCAGACATCTCCATGGAAGTGCAATCAAATGAGACAGTGTAGTCCTATCCATTATCCCGTAGTGGCTTCTTTTTTTTAGATACACCTAAACAAAAGCACAAGTAACTGCTTTTAAAGCGACCGAAACATCTGGCTAATAACGAATAAATTTGACCGTGATCAATGCGAAGTTTTGTCGCCGGCAGCACTGAGCCAGGTTTTGGTGCAAGCTTTTTTGGTCCGAGCAAGTATCAGCTTGAATTGCGGTATCGTATTAGCTATTGACCGTACCAAAATGTGAGCCAAATTAGGCGGGTTGTTAAAAATAGTAGAATATCACATAGTAATTTATTTATAATTCTAGTTAGATAACTGGTAACGCGTGACAATTGTATACATCAGCATAGAATTATAATCAAGTGTCATTGGTATCATCTAACAAAAACATTCTGCATAGCAAATTCTCCTTTTATCAAGACCAGCCAGCAAGAAAGCAATATAATTACCTTCCCTCTGCTAGCTTTTGAAGGGCTCCTGAAATAAGAATAAATAAAGAAAAAAAAACGACTACAAGATCCATTAGAGAAAAACGTTAATTTTTCAACGTCATAATTAGATAGCATGTAAATTTCTACTTTGATTTAGGGACCTGTTTATCGATTTGACTCTTACGTTTGTCTTCCATGCTGCTACTTTTACTACCATTTTGTGGTATTAACCAGCTGAGAACATTATTAGAAAGCACTGAAACCGATTAATGAAAAGAAGATAATTTTAGCACCACAGAGACATCACCCTAGATCTGATCATTGTCCTTGCCGATAAACGAATCATAAATCAGCTGATGTCGGCTGTTACTAATTGCTCTCATCAATGGATATGTCGAAGCTTCTTCGATGTTTGATGATAGAACCGACTTAACACTCGTGTGAAACGCAAACAACATGAAACAAATGTTAGCTCTTCAATCTAGTGGCATATGTAAATGTGCCGAACATATAGAACAACGAAAATATAATTGCAATGGACAGAAAAACTTACGGTACATGATAAAATCGACCTTTTAGCTTACATTGCGCTGTGAATGATTCATAATTAGCATTCGTTGAATGAGCTAAACGTGTTATAGTTTGTGTCAACGAAGAAACGTGCAACGTACTTTACAAGTGTTGACACAATATTTGAAAACATTTTAGTGTAAAACACCACATCGCGCAAGATCGCCTGTAAATTTTGGTCGTAAATATCGATGACATTTTGCATTTTCAAGACTTTAGTGGGAGTCGCTTGGACTGCAGGAGATGGTCTCTGCTATGGTGCTGCACTGGTGATGTACTTGCTTGCCACGCAAAAAGGCACGGGAAACTGTCCAGGTTTGAAACCGATATGGCCAATGAACATGATACTCTTGGTGAAACGAGATTAAACAACGGTTAGCAGACCAGGGCCAGTCATCGGAGAAACAGTACAGACTTAACAATAGGAAAATTCTTGAGTCTAGAAGCGAATCTAGACACGCCTTAATTCGTGCTAAAATGAGTCGGTCTACGACACTCTGCCACATCTGAAGCAGCAATGTTTAGAAGCAACAAAATTTATTTAGACCTCAATGGGTGGGAGGGAAATCTTCGGTGTTAAGAAATATCCCGATCCCTTGAAAAGTGCCACCCGTTTCACAATATACGTATAAATTAAACAATTCAGCCTTTGAATAACATTATTGCTTTGTTTTGCATAAGTTGTTGTTATTGGTAAAAGTTATTACGGAATGTAGCTTAGCTTTAGAACCCTTACTGATAGAGCTGAAATTGACTTTGATTCCGGTTTGTTGGGATAAGCTTGCACTCGTCAGACTGGCCGCAACGTATAGCAAAAACTAAAAAAGGATACAAATAGGCAGATAAAGGCTCGCCAAAGAGGAGCAAATCATAATAGCACCTTCCATTTGTTCCCTACGGTACTGAATTGAAAAACAAGGGAAATTCTACGTGTGTTGAGGTACAACACAGAACGGCGCTGAAGTCAAGTAGAGCATTTGTCTTGCCCACAAATACAGGTGTCTAATTTTGGCTTTTGTCTCCTTCTTTTTTTGGAAATTTGATATGATCAGTGGAATCTTATCAGTCTCATCAGTTTATCCAGTTGCTTTTTGCTAAGCTGTCAACTGATCCTCTGTTACGATTTCTTGTATAATACCGTCATTCAGTATTACCTACGTTAAGAGTAAGCTATACTGGCACAATTTCGAATTGAGATGAACGGGTTACGACAAAAAACGAAGTTTGTTTGTCTGCAGCAGCGCCGCTATTCACAGTGACTAGAGCAACAGTTGTGATGGCGGGCCTAGCTGTCGTTGAAATCAAGAATTGAATTTACTTTTGATGGGTCATTAGAGCGGAAACTGCTGAGCACAAACGTTCATCTTGTTGTCATTGGGTTGGCAATGCAAAGATAAAATAATTTTCATTTGAGTTACAAAATTAAGAACTAGCCTGTAGTAATAGCAATTATGATAACATATCAACGTTATGATTCAAATGTACGCCTGTTAACAATACTGTTTCGAAACGCTTCGTCCTTTGCGGTGCTAGAGTTTAAGTCAGACTAAGCGGTTCAATGTCGAAACAGCACGAGGATACTCAGAATTCATAACTGGTTAATTAATGAGTACGTTTTCGTGATTACGTGATGAGATAGTGTTAACTGTTAAAGAACTTGTTAGGACAAACAAAAATCGCACTAAGTTCGCAGTTTAATAGTCATGGTTTGTCCACATTGTCGATTTGGTCTAATTCTTCAGGTAGTCCTACTTTTGCAAAAAGCCGTCTATTTCATATAACACAACTATTAACTGAAATTAAATATCTAATCGACGATAATTTGATAACTGGTAAGCTAACGTAAATGCTCAATACAATTCCAGCCTGAAAATGGGCGTTAGAAATAGATTACGAAACGTATGTACATACATATTTCAGCTCTATGTAGGTATATACATATTAAGCTCATTACGCTGACCAAATCTTGTTTTCATATTAATTTATGAAATCTGCCGTCTTAGCGTGCACCACCGTTAATGACGTCCATTGAAAAATATAGTCATTCTTCTTCACCAAAGGTCTATCCACTACTCTGGGCCAGATTATTTCTTGTTGTCCTGGTCCGTTTCTATTAACATCATAAGGTAAATCGGAAGCAAATATAATATAGCCATAAACCTGCGTTGTTCTGGCATTGTATTAAGTTTAACTCTTTCAGTGGGTTCTCTCGGAATCCTAACTTTTTTTTTTAACTACTTTTCGTCGTATGCTGATAAAATAGAAAACGATATATCTGCGATATATTCATAATTACTGAATATTCAATGTTATAATGTTTTTCTCAGTTAAATTACATCCCATCGTTGTGTTCTTTTTTAACACTGATAGACTGCTTGAATTATTCCGTATCTAATCCTCAGTATATTACTTACTATTTCGCATTGCGTGTGGATTTCCTAAAACGGAATCGGGAAAAACACCTGAACACTAACTGCTAAACCAATCCTTGGTGAAAACCAAGGAACCATTTTTGTTTGATTAACTAACTGATTGGCTACAACAGACGATGATTGATATCAGCACTATCATGATTTTTCCCATTATTTTGTTATTACGTAACTGTCCCGTCTAAGTTCGTTAGAACCGACTAATATACCGACTAATAGCAAATAATATCAAACAAATATATTTCGAACTAATCGATTAGCATTTTTTAGAAAACACGTAGCGACCGAAAGGTGAAACCAGGCCTACATCAAAATTCCATCAACTTTTAAATTAAATATAGCGACATCGTTATGAGCAAAAACTATTAGGGAGTTGCTGGATTACGTGTTTTCACAATGAAAAACATTCTCAAATTTTACCAAAGAGACGCATATATTAGTGTCTTTCTATTTATCTTGTAATGTTCCACCATTGACTCAATGTGTTAGACTTTTTTGACACAAATCACAAACGTATTGTCCGTTTCTACGCAGCCATAGTTGAGAGTCCCTTGCAAAGCTCAGCAGCTGTCCGATCTGTCCATGAGCTGGTCTATATCCCTAATAACGGTGAATGCTATCTTTGGCTTGATGGTGTGCGTAAATTTATGTATTCATAAATAGTAATTTGTGCTGCTGTTCCATGTAGTTCTTGCTGACGAACTGTAATAGTGTAATAGGCATAGGTTGTAAGCCAAGCATTCAAACAAGCACTTTCACAATGTTTTTTTTGTTATGGCGGTCCGTGATGACCTACAAATGTCATCCGAAATTTTAACTAATTTTAACTTCAGTTAACTATTTTTACTTGTGCTCTTGGACTGCGCCTGCGCCAGAGACTGGTACCTGCGATACGGTGTTGCACTTTCTCAAGTATAGGCAACGGCTGGACAGATATTTCCATCGTTTTTTTTTGCTTTCGTCCTTCAAATTGCTGCCATGGTTCTCATCAGTCACACCGCAGACCTGGCAGATAAGTTTTTGACGAAAATCCTTTCCCCAAGTAGTTGCTTCGGGGTAGCTTCGTTTTATTAGACCGAACGACGGACCTCAAAGGAATCTCGCTACACACCAGTGCTTTAAATAAATACCGTCATGTCACATAAAGTAGCGCCTGCTTGTCAGCGGCCGGTTCGCTGGCTGCTGATTAATCGATCTGAAATACACGCAGAAACACACTGCAATTGGTCGCTTAAAGAAATTAGGCGCGACACCTTTCAATCGTTTCTTCATCAAAATCATAACTATAGCGTCAAGGTCAATATAGGGCTTGAATCTGCTTTGAAAATCTGCACTTCCTTACGGAATCTCCTCCATTTATTTTGGAACCCCAGGTGCTGCTGGATAACGCTGTTTTCTAAAATGTAGCTCTTCAAGCAATCTTTCCAATCATTTTCTACTATAGTAAAAATTAATTTGGGTTGCTCGTAATAATTTTTAGGAGGCACAGTAGATCTCATATTTTCTTCTAAGCTAACCGTGAAGTTGTTTCTTTTAAAAATTTGCATAAGTTCCTATTTTTAAAATACGTTAGTCTAAAGTAACACAATTTTGTAAAGTCACATGTAAAGTAACACTAATTATTGTACGGATTGTAAAATTTGACTTGTAGCGTTTGCTTGCAGTCGTCATAGGTATCCATACAGGTTTGTATTCGTCGTCTGATATCCTGTGTAGTTAATACAACATGAAACTTGTAAAAGTTTTTGAGTTTTTTTTTTTCCAGAACTGCAGTGATTTCGCTGGACCTCCACAAAATAACGTATGTCTGTCGGGTTTGAACCCAAACCGCGTCATAGTCTCAAAAGCCTCGCTCGTAGGGCACATCCCTCAGGTATTCTAAAAAACACGTTTTTCATGTAGCAGACAATATGTATGTAGGCCGTTTGCTACACACGGCTCGGCAAATTCAAAAACAGTAACTTTCCCCACCACTGGTTCCGTAATTGTCAAAATAGGAGGGCCCTAAATGAACAATTTGAAAATAGTTAACAAATGGAGCTATATTAGATCTATAGCCTTTCTTTATTGCTCAGATAAAGAGCTGTGTCAATTCCCGGTCTCGAACTTAGAATTAAGACATCGTCCTATATTTTTAAAATTCATAAGCGAATATCTCAACACTGCACCATCACGGGTACAAGCAGGTTTTTCCAACCGTTTCCATACGCACAAATAACGCCGCAGTTCTTACAAGCGTAGGCTGATGTAAAATTCAGCTGTTCTGAACCGAGCGTCCCGAGCAGCATGACTGAATCGGCCCACTTGACCACCGATCTACTTCCTCAGATTCCGACTATTCTTCGATTCCTCGGTGCCACTTTCTGCTGACGTTTGGGATTATCCTATATATGTGTCTTCTTTTCGTAGTTCGTGTGTTCTCTTTCGCACATTCTGGTGTCTAGATCATCCACTACTCACCACCTGTCGTTCGACAATCCTAACTACTGAAGTGGAAGCCGGCTTCGTAGCCCTACCGCGCTTGGGCCGTTTGAATCCTTTGAAACCTTAAAACATCGTACGCAGTAGACTTTTAGCAGCCGTCGTTCGATGCGACCGGTAACTAAATCCTTAAAATGTTCGGTCTCTGTATCTAAAGCGGCACCAGAAATCTGCAATTTTTAATCGACCGCAGGGTAGCTGATTGGGTCTGTAACGGCCTGTCAATTTAAAAATATTAAAATGATCAATCTTATTGATGCGAGCTTGCACTTATATATTTGTTAGTAAAATAAGTTACTATAATTTTCGTAATAATAACTCTTTAGACTAAAGGACGTAACCTTGGATTATCTAATTCAGCCGCTTCGTTTGGTCGTAATACACGAACATTATCTGAACAACATACAGTAATGTAGTTATATACGTCACCTCGTGGCACAAATGCGCTTACATTAATAATTTCTTACGAAAACAAGCCTAACCTTCGAGAATCCGGAGAGAAATCTGGAAAGATCCGGGCCATCGAGAATATAGTATATTAATGACCTAAAAATTTATAGTACTTAGTATAATTTCACAAAAAGAAGCACAGTGTATTTTAACCTGTCTAAGCCGTTTCGTCATGAAAAAACAGTGAACATGGATTAGCAAAAAGGCCAACGATGCTTAAACCATAGAATTTTTTTTTCATGTATATGCATCTTTCTTTCTCGTGTTATCTCTCTTTTTAACATGCCACTACACGGTATATTTATTTAGCAGTTATAAGATCCTCATCCTTTTCTAACAAAGCGTATACAATAAATACAGGCACATGGTATTACATATTTGCAATTGATACTGCACAGTCTGTAACAGCTGTTTCTAGTCGAATCAAATCGTAATGATAGAACTGCAATATATCTTCTATCTGGTATCTTCTATGCATTTGCATTACTGGCAAACAACCATTTCGGCTATGAGAAAATATTTAAGTCGAAATAAAGTTAGGATAATTCAATTTGCACGCCGTCTTCAACGATAAATGACCGTTGGCCAATATTCACTGGGCTATAGCTTGTATCCAGTAGCATCAGTTCCTGTTCTGCTGACGGTTTTACCGGTCCATTGGTAGTGACCTGGATCTTTTCAACGACGGCGAAAGGTTTCACTGCTGTATTGTGCTTTGGCAGCGAATTCACTTGGACAATTGTGGGTGTTTGATCTTCAGTTTTGTGTGGAAGTTCCTTACAGCTTTGGCTTAGCACCAAAATCTTCGCCGCTGGTGTCGTATTTGGCCTTGTCGTAGCCTTAGTTTTTCTTGAGCTTTCACTCTGAATCTGGGCGGCACGTTGTGCCCTAACGGTGAATGGTACTTTGCCGGAGGCCTGTCTTGAGATCCCTGTCTGCGTTGAGGGCGTCGTGGCATTGAGGGGTACCTTAATCTGCTGAGAGACATCGGCAACTCGCTGCTTGATTTGGTGGTTGGACGTTGCGTACTGAATGTTAACCATGACGGGCATCTTCACCTTTTGAGACATTCTCTTTTCGTTCCCATTGGACTTCGTCGATTTTGTTGTTCCTATTTCAGATGGGAGTGCAACAACCACCGAATCGTGTCTTTTTTGTCCTGCAAGATCTCTTGGTGAGTCGGTAACAATTTTGGTTAAAGAAATACCTACTTGAGGTGGCGACTGAGATACGATTAAAGTACCGGTCGACTGCTCTGATAACAAAGGTGCAGAATTAGGTAGCTCGATCCACGGGGCTCGCCGTAGTCCCCAGCGCCGACGAGCCTTAGTTGATAGTCTTGACATTAGTGTAGACCCTGGAGAACGTTCTGATTTTGGGCCTTTAGTGGCCAGAATTTGTTTGGCTTTTTTCAGCCGTTTCAGCTGTTCGCTATTGCGTTTTAGCGAGTCGCTTTTTAGAGCTGGATTAATGGCTGGCTGCGGATTTATCTTTTCATTGTTGACACGGTATTGGAAACTACGTCTTGCTCGTTTAACCATTCCCTTCGTTAGACCGTCGGAATTAAGATGACCGTGGCAATCATGAATAAGTCCACCATATTTTGCGCTTGTCTTAATGGCCACTGCTTTTGTTTGACTCAATGGCTCAATTTTGATATGCACTTCGTCCATAGGAAAATCCCATACTTCGTTCCTGCAGGCTTCCTGTTGGTCCTCAGAGTTTATTGCTGCAACCCGTTCATCAGCTAAGGCCAACATTTTGTCGACATTGATCGTGCCCGACTTCCACTGTAACAAATAGAGTAACCGAATCGATTATAGTGACCTAATTGTGCTTCGTAAAATAAATGCAACATTGACCAAAGGAAATCATACCAATTCTTATTCTTACTTCGAAATGAACGAAATCAATTTGAGTATTGCTACACGGTCATTGAGCATTCTTTCAGTAAACAACTAAGAAAACGTTATCCACAAAGTAATCAGGCAAGAAAAGAAAATAGACTAATGTTACAAAATCGAGAAAGGTAACAGAAAAAAGATATTCGACGAACTTTACTCTGTTTTGTGTGTACCTTTTGGGGCATATCTGTGAACTGTAAGGCCGTATAATCGGGGTGGCGATCTCGCACCAAGCGAAATAGCTCTTTTGGTGCTAAAGGCTGAGTTTCCCCGGCCTCATCATCTCTAGTCGGTTGCCGTGGACGAGATGTTCGTAGAAGCATTAGACCGCTACTTAAAAACTCATCCAATTGATCTAGATTGACATTTAGCTCCCCCTGCAATAATTAAGCCAAAGTCACATGTCATAGGACGCTCAAATTATCAAACTTGGCTTTGTCAGTTCTTGTAGCAACTTTCGCACAACGATTATTATGGAATAATAATTACTAGTAAAAGTCATCACAGCGACATACCTGGAGAAGAGTTATCACCTCATCAATACGAGGCCGAAGTGTCTTAAGGCGTTCTCGATGATTGACACGCTGTAATCGTCGCAAGGCCTCTTGCAGTCCAACAGTGTCCTCCTGAAGAGTTGGATCTACCCACGACGGTCCAGGGCTTCCCTCCTTGCTCGCCACCAGATGGACGTGTGGACACATATGATCCTCGAGCATAAACTTCTTACAAGTGCAGCCATATCTATAGAAACGCAATTTATTTAGTTAACGCCTCTCTATGACACGAGCATACTTCGCGAAATCAATCGCTCTTCAAGGTCATACGCTTTTTCTGATATTTTAAAATGCTTGAGATAAGCATATAGTATTAATCGAGTTGAAAAGAAGCATTTAACAAACCTACCTATGTACGCACACTCGGCAGTCCTCGCAGCGTTTTTCGCAGCTTTCATGTGGAGCTTTTCTCGGAAAGACGACGTTACTTTCGGCTCCGTCTGATTGTAGCGTTCGCCGATAAACATGCACATGGCCCGTGACTTCATGCCTTACCACATGACTAAACTCTGCCTAAATGTAATACATGTAAATAAAAAATGATTGTATTATCTATCGCTTCACCCAAATTGAAAATTCTCAGCAAGCTTGTAATTGCTATAAAAAGCGCATCGTTTTCGTGTGACCTGTGCTAGGTGAAAATTATTTCAAATGTAACCTTTTTTACTAGAAGCTAGGTTTTCCTTTAGCTTTTCCTTACATCAATCTTATGTTTGACTCGCTCTGATTCCGCCGTTCGGTGACTCTCGTCATCAGGCTGAGCCAATAATTCCAGGCATTCACGAACTCTGCGCACTAGACGCACCCGTAGATAGTCACTGTTGTAGCCCTTTTCCGACATCTGCATCTCAGTAAATAAAATTTATCTACTTTTGTCAGCTAGCGTTCAAATACTTGAAATATATATATACATATAATTATAACAACTTGGCATGATAAACTTCACAGGCTAAACTATACGCATGACGGCCTTACGAGCTCGGCTAAAACTACTGTTATTAGATGATTCCGGAGGTAATCCACATACGATTCATAGAATTAGTTACGAACTAGCAAGTATTACATTATAAACAATTTAACTGCTATTCTTCGATATGTTGTTAAGCTAGACTGCTCAGAGATTGAACTTCTAGCCAGCCAAGAGCACGACTCGTATCACAAAAATGCTCACACCTAGTACAAGCACAGTAGTCATTAGGTTTATGAAACTTTTCGCTCTGTATAGGCATGGAAGCTGTAGATATACGCGCATCACATACAAAAAATTCAAATAAGGGTTCGTAAAAGAATTTGAAAGATTCTCCCAAGAAAGAATGTAAAATATCGTGCTCTTTAAAGTCGACATTTCTACAGACTCTTCATTGAAGCACTTCAGCCTAACTAGTACCGCTCCAGTGTAGTAATAGAGCATTACGGTGCGAAAAAGCCTAATACGTATCAGCAACGATTTTATTCGTCCTTTAACTTTCCAGTACTTACATAAGGCACGTCGATCGTACAGCGTTTATCACTGAACTTCCTATGCACATTGCACAGCTGGTTAAGTGTTTTAAGGTCGAGGATGAAACTTCGACTCAGCGGTTGACCAAAATATTTTTTGGCAGCTTCTGCGACGATCGCCCGTCGCTTATAGCCCTTTTTAAGCAACTCCATGATAAAGTGGCGTTGTTCATCCGACACTCTGAAAATAATACAACGGCCAGCTCATGTATTTGATTAATTTAGAAGTACACAATAGCGGTCACCTTGCCATCTATTCACATGTATGTATAAGATTAATCCAACCGTCAATTGTAAAAAAGCATAAATCTACTAATCAATGAAAGTTCGCTATCAGCGTTGACTAACCAATAACTTACTTGACGTCAAGAATATTCGGAGTGTGACCAATGTGTGTACGCCAATAGATCACACTGACTCTGTTACCAACTTCCGTGACAAACATGGCCGCTGGACATTCTACACCGAGTCGTTTTCGGTAGGCCGTGTGCATACTGTACTCATCCTGTGTCAATTTGCGTCCTGTGCGACAGCAATTGTACACGCCGCTTCGCCGATGCCCGATATTTGTGAACGTTGCCATATCTTCCTGCTCTGTGCGCGACTTCCAATTTTTGAAGTCGTCCATCGTTTCGAATTCATGCCTAGAATATTGTGATGATAAAATAATAGAAATTCAAAGACAGTTTTGCGGAATCGCCTAGTCACAAGTATTTGCGCTTTAGTTAATCAAGTAGTATATGGTTCTTCTCATACGAATGACTATTAATTTGGGGGCTGTAAAGCTTCATTCGTGCGATATATATATGTTTATAATACTTTGCGATATCATCGGCAGTAAAATATAAGCAAAGTAAATCGATACTCAGCTTATGACGAATATAGAGTGATATTGATAGAACAGTATTGTACGTACTCTGTGCACTCAAGCCGAGTATCATGGTCGTCAACGATATGCCTAACTAGAATCTCGTGACTGCCCATATCGATGCGGCATAACGGGCACAACCTTTCGCTCGCTTGTACACTGGCCATTCGCCGACCTCTGACATGAACGCTCATGTGAATATGAACCGCTTGCGTGTTCCCGAAGGTGTAATTGCACGTTGGCACCGGGCAGTAGAAGACTGAGAAAAAGCAAATATTGGTTAAAAAAAATGGAAAAAGGCCACTAGCAACCCGAAAATTTACTTCACCTTTTAAGGCGAAGCTATTCCCATTCGTTTTGTTGAGGCTGACGCGTTTAATATGCATTCGTTAAGCAAAGTGTTGAGATACATATCGTAGAACTGTTGAATATATCCTATGTTGGCTGATGATAGCATTCGTGTTGCAACGCAATTGGAGTTGTGCATAAATCTAAAAACCTTGCGGCTCGCAGTCGCTGGTGCGGTTTAGTCAGGAGCACATTCGAGAAACGATCGGACTCTGCTGAGTGTGCCTAATAAATAGCAATCCTTATATAAATATTTGGGTTGTGTGCGTCTGACTAAAAACTAATCCAAGGCGTTTTCTGATGCTACAATATCTTTAGTCGAATATTAGCAAGTCAAAACAGTGCAGAACACATTGCTCACCAAGAAACGTATCAACTCCTAGAAGGGTATCAGATGGCCATCCTCTTACATATAATTAAAATCGAATAGATCTCTGTTAGCTTCCGAAGAGAAACAGCTTTAACATGGCCTTACACTTCTGACGGTCGAAGTTAAACACCGTATGCATAAATATATTCAGAAATGGATTGCTCATACTCAGTCTTGAAAGTCGTCGAACTTGCTTGAAATGAGATTGTCAAATGTCAAAGCGATCTTTTGTGTGTACTTAAATGAGTTAAAGAAGCCAATCATTTTATACATTCGCTTATCAAAGAAAGACGTACTAAAATTTTTACAAAGTTTGACAGATCAATAAATTGCTCCACCTCAGAAAATCTACTGGAAAACCTATTACAATAATTTATTTTGCCGCCGTTATTCCAAACTAACAACAGATTATTCATCTGTAAAGAAGTCTATACGCTTACCTTTCTTGCCATCGATAATCTCAATCCGGGCACCTTTTGCAATATTCCCACTGTTTTCCAATGTGATTTGGGTTCTGTATGAAAAAAATCAGATAAAAAAACGTTCTTAAATATCCTGGTAGAAAAGACAGAAAATCTTTATGTGGAAAGCTGAGTGGAAAATGAGCAAAAGTCGGCAAGACTAATTTCAACGTTGATGCACTGTCCCATCGGATAACCGCTAGCACTTACTCGACCATTTGTTGGGTATTCGGGTCCCAAGTTGATAGTTTCGTATCGAAATCTTCCAACACGTCCTGGCGCGGACCTCGACTTATAGGTGGTAGCACAATGGAAACCACCTCCTCGAAGGTTGGCGGAGCAGGTAACTGCATATGCCCTGATAGTGGTGTAGGAAGTTGTGCTTCGGGCAGGTGATTATGTAGATGCCGCCTAGAATTTTACGGGCGTCATTTAACCACAAACAACCGTCTGGCCTTTAAACCAAGACAAACGTCTGATCGGATAGCAAAAGCAATCGTTCAGGTTTAAGCCATACAAATGACATGAAGCTTCGTAATGATATATATATATATATACGCGTTTTTTGAGGATGGAAAAAATACTCCGCTCACCGAGCTCTTAATATACATATTTATATAGTGAGCTGTAACAGCTTCTCGAAAATGAAAAAATCTGTACTAGAACTACAAAACTAGAAAAACAAATTGCTACACACAGTTTTAAGTGATAGACTTATATTCCAATAAGCGATTCACATCAGGGCAATGTAATTAAATCTATCAGACATATCTCTTATTACATTTTTGCGTTATCTTTGATATACTGTAAACCCTGTCACAATGGCAAATTGGCATATGTTGAATAGACGTACTAATATGCATTGATGTTAACTACAACTCTGTAATTAATTGCAGATAATCACCAAGCAGTTGAAGAAACCATAGATTAACGTGATGGTAATGCAAAATAGAACTTACCTTCGTACAAAGCTTCCATCAAGGTTAAGCACTGCGTACACCCTGCAGGGGTTCTTCTTTCGGTGACATCGGATGCATGCTAGCATAAAATGACCTTGCGTACCCTTCTGCAGTCGCATCAAAAAGGGGCCAACTCCTCTGTGTGAGGAAGCCTCTGTGGACGGATGCGTCATTGGATCTAACGGAATATCGTACGGACCAAACACGTCGCACCACCATTCGCCATTGGCCGATGCTCCGATTCCATCCCAATGCACAGCTCGATAAAACAGAGACATGGCCTCTAAGTTCTCGGCTAGGCCATCCGCCGTCTGACGGAACAAAACTTAACTAGAACCATTATTCATTCCAAAGATATAGCCCCTAACCCCGTCGTCACGCACAATAGAAATATGAGGATTTGTCACAGAATTTAAACCGTGGACAATTACGGTGGTCTCTGAGAGGCACGGTTCTTCACTGTGTGCTCCAGTTCCATACTAAAGAACTAAGCATTTGGGTTTTTTATTTTATATGCAATTTACAATATAGTGAGCGAATACATTTGTATAGATTCCTATATATGGACATTATAGCCTTAAAAACTAAATAAGAACTATCTCGCCGGTAATTCATCTCAATCCAACAGAAGTGAATTTTACCCCATATTAATCGGTGTCCAGTATTGAAAACAGCTCGCTTTTTTTACTGACATTAAGGTCCCTTTTATGATACTGAAGCCCAAATGAATCTACCGTCTTCACTGTTTTAGACAGAGCTGTTTCAGTAGCGTATCAACTGTTGATTCCTTAGCTCAAACAATAATTTGCTGTACTTATCAACGGCTATAGACGGAGCCTCACTTATTTATAGTATATTTATTATAGTTTTTAATAAATAGATTTTATGAAATACATCGACCGCATTTAAAGGTTTGATCTTAACATGGCAAGCGAGCAAGCTAAACAAATTCAACAGCAGAGGCTTATTTGCAATTAGAGGTAAATCAACTGATTTAACTAACCACAATGTTAATTAAATAAAACATAATAATGACACGGTCCGATAGAATAAGAAACAGGTAAAAAGACAGGGCGAGACAATGCTAATATGGTTCAATTTCTTCATAACCATTTATTGAAATATGTTAAAATGTATGAACATGAAAGACCTGCTATAGGTTATCTTTTTGCTCCTGAGCCCGATTATCAAGTCAATAAAACTTCGGCGTACTAGTGACCATCTGTGGCCCCCAACATTTGCGATCGCATATTTTAGCCACAGATAGAATGAGACTGATTGTCCTTGCCAATCATGGACCCAACAAGTTCTAAACATTCATACCAGAAGTCAAGACGAAATAGCTAAACACATTTAGATACTCAACTGAGCATTCTTATATCATTTTTGCCCATTATTCGCTCTTGACAGTTTACAGACGTGTAACTAAACGATACGGAATGAAAAGATGTCCTGGTTTATTCCTCCCACCTACCAAAATAATCCTGCTCCAGTCCACAGTTTAAACGAAGCTACCACTTTTACTGTTGGAGTCCACAGGTTCACTTACATAGGTCCGCACCAACTTTATTATATCGTAACAATAATAATGATAATAATAGTAATAAACTATCATTCACATAGAGAGAGACGTAAATTTTCTTGTACCACCACACTGCCCCAATTATAATCTTTCATACAGCTGTGTATACAATCGTGAGTGACTTCGGCATCTTACGTCATAACGGAGCGCCAATACAAACAGAAGAGCAGACGCTCTTCGAGAGGCGGAAGTTAATTTCTAACGAGTCGGAATAACTGTTATTAACATAATAAACGATAATCAAATCGTTCCGTTTTCTTATTTGTATACTTCTCTACTACTATCTTTTTAAGTGGAGTACTGTTATATAGATTATGAAGTAGCAACTTGCGTACACTCTGCGATATGAGCTGCACTCTTTGCAGAACTATTACAACACATATATGTTGTTTTCTCAGAAGTTATTATTAAAACTAATAATAAGTTAATATTAATATAGTTGAATGTATTTGGGACGAAACCCATAACGGCTACCGTTATGGGCGGCATCTTCCATAATATAGACAGATCATACAAATGTATTATAGTGGTGGCAGACACTTCATTTATATACAGATCCTGGTTATTATATACATATATATACATACACACGAGATTTAGATATTTTCCCGGTTAAAAATTAACGATAAATAAACAAATACATATCTTATATAGTTTAAAAAACAAATACATTACTTATATTATTATATCTACTAAGTATCTACTACCTATATAAGTTAATAACACAAATAAGATCGTGTACTCTGCATAGACAGAAAAGGCAATTGCTCGTATCTGAAAATTCTCTTGGTTACAATCTATAAAATTCGACTAGTTATATATGATTCTCTAAACCTTTCAGTGCAATATATTTGTTATGATACAGTTCCAGGAATTAAATATTAACTCAGAAAATTATGAAAACAATGATTCGTACTGCGATAAACTTCGTATTCTCATTCGTTCATCTTATGCAACAGGATAAATGCTTCTAAAAAAAAATAACAACTAGCACTAAAAATATAAATAGTAACAATAAATAAATTAAAATACTATTGCCTTGCTATTGAAGAAGTAATAATGTGAAATCGTAGCATCTAGCTTTGATATCTACCTTAGGTTTCGTTTCTCAACTGGGCTTTTTTTATTGAGTGCTTATTGGCACAACGCTTTGTAAATAACAATATACTGATAGCAAAGCAGAACTAAGAATCTAGAATGTAAGGGGCATTACAGGCAGTATCGTAAAAGTCCCTTCCATCTGATTGTACCCCTTTTTGAAATGAAACTTGCTTCGTCTGCCGACGTACATTCGTATTAACATGCCTCCGCGTCGATTTCCGGCATAGCGTGCACTAACTAAAGCTTCTTTAGCAATATATTATATTCGGTTGTTTCAGTGTTTAAATAGCTATCAATGATCATCTTCATCGAAAGGTGTTCGTATCCGCTCATAGAATTATTAAAGCTAGCAGAAGCATAACACTCCGATGGCACGTCGAAGTTTAAACGATCACGATAGATCCACATGGGTAGAGACATTTGCAGAATATTTATTGCTTTCAGAAACTATGCTGGTTTGTTGTTGGTTGAGTACCGTCAGTCCTCCAACCATCTGAGTCCACAAAAATTACGAGCAGAACCGGTGTTAGAGCTGGTCTGTTTGCGAAATGAAAAATATGAACTGGCCGCTCGGAGGCAGTGACACCTGCCATTTTAAAATTTGCCAATAAAATTCCATTAAGAAAAAAGAACCTATGAGCTGCGGTGCAGTTGTCGCGTATAGCCACTTCGATTTCGGTGGCATGGTTGCCGAGGTATTCACGATTGCTGCCGACGGCGAAACTGCCTAAACTGAAAAAATTACCAAAAATAACCCATGATGACATGGGCACCGCCTTCGATCGTTGAGACCGCGAAGCATTTGACGGCTGTATCGATTTTGTTGGCGACTTATGTAACGGCGCTGACATAAACATCTATTTGTTTTTCTATTTTTATTTTTCAATTCACTGATTAACCGTATCTTTTTCTTCGCTAATGCATCGATTTATGTGAACTTCAATCTTCATAGCTTAATATCGTCACTGAACATCAAACTAATATCCACTACGTTTAACCGTATTCTGGACTGAACTCGCCAAAATCCCAAGCAGAACAAGAACACTAAAGTTTAGCGAGCTTACACTGTAATAGCAAAGCAAGCGATTATTATTTGCTATCGGACCACTCTTTCTATACATGCAATTACATTTACTATGGTTCGTTTCAGCTTGGGAGTAAATCACTCGTCATTTTGGGACCAAATGACTATCTGAAAAATAATGCAATTGTCATTTTCTATACGAATAGCCTTTTTCGTCGCTATAGTATTTATCGGCTTTACAAGATTTATGGTTTAGTTAATTTATCTTGTATTTTGCAAATATAGCGTAATCATGGTCAGCTTGATGATTACCTTCTTAAAACAAAACAAGCCTTGTTTGGATCCACTAGAATTAGAATATATCATTTTAGTTGTTAGCTTAAGAGGCAAACGAAGATGCAATCCATGTGAGAGTTGAAAAAATATTTTACACAACATTTCGAACACCTCTAGACTTGAAAAATAGTCAGATCAGTACGCTCAGATTAATCCGGCATCACGCCATACAGTTGTTCTGACAACGTCTGCAATCGTTTTCGACGATAACCTATTGTGTTCTATTTGAAACACATTAAATTTCGTCGTGCAACTGGGAGATCTCTCACATAGAAACGTTAGACCTGTTTTCTAATCATTCTCTGACTTTTCTACATTAATCTTGAACTTTTTAAAAAGTTTTCTACCCTATTTCTCGACTACTTAAAATTGATATTGTCTCCGCTATTTCTCCGCAGTTAACCTATTTGAACTGGTAATTATCGCACTACAAATATCGAAGAATAAGTCGAGTATGCGGCACGTTTTATTCGAAGATTAATTGCCGTTTAGAATGGAAAATTTTGTATATACGCAGAGTTCCGTACAGCAAAGCAAGATCAGTAACACTGTATATAGAAAATAAAAAATAATTCTGTTGTTTCTATCGTTTTGTTAACTCATGTTTTTATATATCGTGTAGTGCAAAATGACACTTTGTTTTGATTGTTTTTAATGTGACGACAAATTCATTCAACTTACATAATATTTCTTGTTGGTATGCAAATAGTGTTATTCATGAGATCCGTACTTTTTTGTATAGACGGAAAGCGCAATTGCCTGTGATTGAATAATTGCAACATATCTATATTTTACTAGTCATCTTTTGATCCATATATTAATTGTTTATGGATCACACCGGCTACTTACCAGACTAACATACATCTCGACAAACCCTAAATAATTTCAGTGTCTTATATACAGTATGTCTGTTATAACGCAATTACACGGCATTGTTTGTCAACTAGATCGTCTTTGTAATGTTACTGGCATTGGGCATGGTGTCTTGTACATGGCTGACTATTCACAGTAAGATGAAATTATGGTCGTGGCATCACTACTTTGAATGACATTTAGGTCAGTACCGCAAACCCAGCAGCTTCCATTCAATTGCACCTCTTGTCAATGGAACTTGTTCTTCCTTAACATGCACAGCCGGGTCAAAACGAGTCCGCATCAATTTCCGGTTTAACTTTTTTTTAACTGCAAGTTATATTCGGATGTTTGTCTTTTTGCAAATTTCACATATTCAGGTCCTGACGGGTTACTAGTTATCACCTTCGCGGAGATGAGATTGTCGGAGCCAGCAGGGATATGGAATTCCAGCGGCGCACCGGACATATGGCGGCTTACATTACTGTTACTGCTTTTAAAAGCGTCAGAAGGGATCTAGAGATCACAGGTATAACTAGCTTCAAAGGCTGGCCGTTAGTAAAGATTACAACTCGTAGCGCCGACTTAATGGCAGAGCTTTTTATGATTTTGGGGCCAGCTGTCGAATTAATAAGCTGCGATTGGATAACCAGTGCTCCACTATTGGTTCTAGAATGTTTTGGTGGTGCGCATATCCTACCAGGTAAACTGCTATCCAATTTAAGGTACACCGATAGAAATGTGCCATCAACCTGGGGAATCTTTATTCCTAATTTTCTCTAGGATCTTGATATTTACTGGTGACACCATTGACTTTGATGGTGGCGACCTCTTTGGGTCAGAATTCGAACCAGCTGAGTCTATATTTGTGAAACCAGTCTCTGTTTTTGTTGTTACTGGTGGTGTTGCGACTGTTGCAAGACGTGACATCAATACGAACGACGAACGAGCTGGCACACTTAAAGAAGTGGCCTTAGATGATTCCGACAACGTGGAGCTTGTCTTCAAGCCTTGAGCCGAGAATCTTGATTGTGAAGCATCTGACACAGACGTGAATTTTATTGGCAAGTTTTTTGTCAGTCTCCGCAATCGTGGGAGCAGGTTTGCCATGATAGCATCCCAACTAAATCCAAGTCTTGATAGAAAAATTTCTTTTCTTGCATACGAGTAGCGCGACGTACTTCAGAATCACTCGTTATTACACGAGGAATGCTGGACAGTGGTTTCGTTTTGGCTCGGTAGAATTACGTGTTCTTTCTTTACTTGAACCTTGCCAAGAAGTTCTCCATCCTGTTAAGGAATACACACAAATGTAATACATGAATACGTTGGTAGGAAAACAACTTAAAATAGGCCTTGAAATCGCCGCTTAATTATATTAAAACTTCTAAATCGGCGGTCTGAAAAGTCAACCGATATGCGTACGCGCATATATATATACATATATATTGTTTTTGCATTTTTTATATAATTCAGTATATATATATATATATATATATATATATATATATATATATATATATATACATTATTTTAGTTAAATGTAAGTTAGTTTTTCCTAAAATTAAATCACTTAGTAACTAGTTCAAATAAATCTAGACAAAAGGTACATCAAGAGTAAAAATACAACAGAGAAAAATTGTTACATAAATCCAGCAAAAATCCAGGAAATTGACTTCTTCTACGAACCCTTCAAAAACGTCGTGTTTATCAAAGCTTAAGAAAAAATTCAGCAACAAACTGCTAAAACGTTAACAGTCTGGTATCAGGTCTGCATTCGTTTCAAACTTTCGTCTTCCGAAACAATTATTGTAAGCCATCTGACCTCCAAACGGTCTTTTAAAATAGGCCGACACGTCTCATGCAAGATGTCCGACTTTTCTGTGAGCTTCCTGAGGGCCATTCGGCGATCTCTCAGCGTGAGTTGTTTTGCTCTTGCCACATTTTCGTCCGTACTCGCCATGACAAGTTGTCCTTAACGAGGGTTGTCTTCAAGGCTTTTTCGACCATCGCGAAACCTTGATATCACTTCTACACCCGACATTGAGTCATAGCTTGTTTCCGAAAAGCCTTCTGTAGCATTGGCATCACTTGTGAGCATTTTATGTTGTTCTTCGCACAGAACATAATACACGCCCTTTGGTATTCCATTTTTGTTGTACAATAAAACAAAACACGGGCCAAAGTTATTCGAAGCAAAAGTTAAAGCGCCTGAAAAATATAAAGCGTTCGCTCGAATGCTCTAAAATATGGCTTGGCAGACGAATAAGCGAATATGGCATCATAAGCTGGGTTATGGGTTGACTTTTAACCCGAAAATTTGGGCATTTGATTCATACTTTTTTGATCCAGTAAGAAGTAAATTCTGAGTAAACATGGCTCAGAGAGACGTCGAATCAATATTTTAATACAAACTATAGCGAATTAATATATCTGATAGCTGAGCAACCGATCTAGTTTTATATTTGTATATGTCTCTTATGTTCAATCCTTTTCATTGTGATCGTTAAATATATAATGCTTACCACGATTAGCAGAAAACCAAGAACGTGGAAATACGTCGAAAAAATCACTCTTTATGAAACAACATTTTCGAAAGCCAGAAAAGGTTTCCTCCCTTTAAAAATTCGCCTATAAAAATCAATTTCTGAAAGCGACCTATGTTTTCAAGAAGTCGATAGAAATCATAACTTAATTCATTTTAAAGGGGGCACGTTTTATCCTCATCCAACTCTTTTACTTTCCCTTGGTTTTGTTTCATTTTAGCAATTTGCTCCGTGAAACTATGTTAGTATTGGATTCGTCTCATGAAGTGGTTCCTACTTTTTGTAATATTATTCAACGGCTATTTTTCTTGCCGAATTCGGCTACTCGTTCAATTTGTTGGGGCAGCTACTTCATTTGTAATGACTGAACAGTTCTTTCTCTGGCAATCCGCTAGCGTATATCAAGCTCCTTCTTCCTTTGCCCCCTAATTCCATCAACCTGATCATTTGTTATTTGATTTGCTTTCCACAAACGCCATTCTCCCTTTAAATTCGATCTTTTCAAAGACATTCCACTCTTTGTTACACTTATTGCCTTCCTATAATTCTTTTGTTCTATCATTGTCTGACGGCGACATTCGTATCGTTGCTCACCGGATTCGCTCAAAGCAAAAAAGCTTGATTCCATAATTTTTTGATTAAGACGTGTTGCGGTTCACTTTTTTCTATTCTCCCAAGCCAAGTGACGTTCTTTATTTTTTTTAGTATCTTTTTTACGATTCTTTGTATTTTTGCTTAAACTACTACCCGGATCGTTTTTGATCTCATCAGATCGCGATCAGTTTCTTGCACAGAACGTCAAGCGAGATACTCATTATCTATTATATTAGCGTCATTTAGCTACGGATTATATCCGTCGGGATTTCTGTAGAGGCTTCAATTCTAGAGAAAGGATCTAGTTTTTCATTACAACTAATGCTTATAAAGAAGGAAGGTTTATAAAAACATGTAGGTTATGTGTTGAAGATATATTAAGATAAGAGGAATCATAGCTGAGAAAGGCCACTAGCTAGCATTGAAACAAACAGAATGACTTCGAGAACTTGCCACTGAGTAGAAAAATAAATTGTTCTGGAGGCCGTGGCTCGATCTCAAGTCGATCTCAGCGTTCATGCTGGCATTTTCATAAAGAAAAACTGTGCTGCGAAAGTATAATACCTTTAAATATTGTTATGTTTTATCTGCTGTGGTGCCGTATATTGGTTTAACCAAGACCTCTCAGCCTGGCATTTTCGATTGGCCTAAAGGACAGGCTCAATCAGCTGTCTAATATTCTGAAAAGCTGTAGCTACCTTTTTCAACGGTAATTTATTTCCTGAGCTTTGATGTTAGCAACATTAGTAGCTTTTGACTGTAGCAAATCAGAATAAAACGAAGTTTTTTGATATTGACTATCTCAAAGACGCTAATTACCTTTATTATTTCGGAGTATTACCAGGCCACTTTCGCCTAGTTCCTGGAACAACTGATAAGGTAATTTGATTGTTATAATTACTTAGTCATTTTTTCCAACCCTTCCTAAATAATACTTTCAAGTAACAAATGTTTATCACCTAAAAATAATGCAGTAGAGATGACGTTCTTTTCCTACTTTTTTTCAGTTGAGAGATCTTTCTTCGACTAGCATGACGCACACCATCTTTTAGATTCGTAAAGCAATGGATTTCAGTTCAGTTCTTTGTGACGAGCTTATGTCCTACATACTTCCGATATACGTTGTCTCTATGATACGTTCATTATGCATGGTGTCCTGGCGACATGTCCTTTTCAAATAAAACGCGGTCTTGGCATCATAATAATTAAGCAACGATGAGAAAAAAGCTGATCCTAAATATTTCGGTGTCCACACCTGGCATTATGTTTTACGATTTCAATACTTCACAATACTTAAAGCAATTTTCAGCAACGTTTCTTTAAGCTAACAGCGTTACAACCTATTTTGAACTTGTCATTTGCATAGATAATGAAGTGGCGATCTTTGCTGACTGGCACTAGATATACATGGTATACACGGTAATTTGCACATGGTGATTTATCCAGAGTGAGGTTCATGTATGCTTTAAGTGGCATCCTAGCGATACGCACTCTTTTGCGTTATATTACATTGTTTCTCCAAAGTAACACATTTAATCTACAAAGGAATATTAATGCTAGAACGGTTCTGCGTCAATTTCTTGCTTGACGATATCTGCCACTAGCTGCAAAGGACTTTTCAATTGCATATCATCCTCAGCGGTTTCAACATCCGCAGCCTTTTCAGATCCAGTACTTAGCGGGCCGCCAGTTATTGGCTCAGCAGAGCGTTGCTTTGATGCATCGATGAGTTCGTCAGAACCAGCAGGGACATAAAATTCTAGCGGCGGGTCAGAGTCTGACTGGCCGTTGTAATTATCCACAGAGTTATGCTTGCTCATGCTGTTATTACTATCTTCAGAAGCATTGGTAGCCTCTTCCGAAGCTGCTTGTCTTTTTAGTCCCGTCGCTGATTCGATCTGCTGAAATCCGGCTGGTCCCACGGAGGTGACTGAGGTCACAGGTACAATAGGTTTTAGAGGCTTGCCATTAGCGAAGACGACAACACGCGGCGCCGACTTAATGGCAGAAATCTTTGTGATCTTGGGGCCTTCCGTTGAAGTCATAAACCGCGGTCGGATAACTGGTCTTCCGTCAGTGGTTCTACAAAGCCTCGGTGGAGCACATATCCGAACAGGTGAACTGCTATCCGACTTAACGTATACCAGCCGAAATGTGCCGTCAGCCAGAGGTATCTTCATTGGCCGGACAATTGTCTTAAAAACCTTGGTGTTCGGTGGTGGTGCCATAGACTTCGAGGGTGGCGACTTCTCCGAATTAGAATTCGAATCTACTCCTTCTGCTTTCGTAGGACCTTCCTCTGCTGTCGCTGCTACTGGCGTCGATATGGATGGCAATGGAGCTGCTGAAGATGAAGTATCTGTAGAAGATCTTGACGTAGTGGAAGCTGCCTTTAAGCTTCGAGTCGAGGGTCGCAATCGCATTGGATTTGACGCACGTGCCGCTTTTGTTGGCAACTCGGAGTTGTTTGTCAGCTTTGGCAATCGCGGCGGCAGATTTGCTGTGGTGGCGCCCTGGGCGCTGCCAGCTAAAACCAACTGATCAAGATCTGGATAGTAACGTTTAATCCCTCGCAGTCGATTACCGGAACGCACTTCAGAACTACCCACAACCACAGGTGGGATGCTGGGCGGGAGAGTTGCTCCCTTTTGGCTCGGTAGAAGTATGGGTTCTTTTTTTACTTGGACTTCGTCGAGCAGTTCCTCCTTCTGTTGAGAAATACCACAGAAATACATACAAAGCACAGATGTTCAGCTAAGTAAACGCCTTAAAGAATGTTTTTACTGTTTAGATATTGTAGAGTTTTTAGGAATGAAAATGTCTATATGGTCGATTTGTTGAACCAGTTGTTATTCATCAGCGGGTGGCGGATAATGAACGGCTAATTAATTCTGAATTGATTGAATGCGAGACAAAAGACCCATAAGCGCACATAATTAAACACACTATATTAATATGTATTATAATATATTATAATTATATAATAACAATACGCCTGCTCAGATAACCTTGCTGCTGAGACATGCAACATATACGGGCAAGCGTGATTGTTATGACTAACTGTAGAAAGTGCTACTCTTAGAACGCCGCGATATAACACAGCAACTCAATACTAATACAATGCAGTGCAGTCCTAAAAGACTGCAGCGTTCCTCTTAGAACAAATTAAAATTACCGATGTTCCAGCCAGTCAGTTACAGTCCTCTAGTATCTTACATGTACATGTTTGTCGGCTGCGGAAGCGTATGTCTCCCTATGTATTTAATATTATAATAACTTCACAAAGAATGGGCAAATTTTTATTAAATAAAATACGTCTTGAACTGTGCGTTTAGCCTCGATGAACATTACAGATCTCGCACAATATTGCATGCTAACCCAACAAAGCTGGGAATCTCTTTAGGAAGAAAAACGATAGAGACAACGCATATATTTATAAAATATATGTCGTATTATCCCATATTGTTCCAAAAGTCTGCCATTTAATAAACCATAGATGAAAGTTCATCTCACACTGAGGATCTACCCTGCGTCTTAAATTAAAGTAATAAATAAAAATACTGCTTTGATTTTTGCTTGAGCCAAGTTAACCTGATCAACATTTAACTTCACGTAATGTCATGAGTAGCGTCAATCTCCGGTTGCAAACAAGAGAATATTAGTGCTTTGAGTTAACACGGTTTTTCGGTAAAATTTAGTGCAAACAAGATTTTGCCGATACCAAACTAAGCTATCTATAACAGTGTATCTATTTCTACAACACATTCACGTACATACTTTGCAATGGGAAAGTGTGTACGTGGACCTCAGAAAAACAGTGAATTTCAGTTTCTGTCTGATTTTTCAATGCCGTCTGTCAGAATGGCGGAAACTGCCGCACGTATTCGCGATATCTTACTTAACGTACTATTAACGCAAGAAATGATGCGAAATATACATTTGAATATTTTGATTTGAATAAAAATTAAATAAATATTTAATGTCGTCGTGATTAGCTTATTTTCACCATGCTACTTTTGTGCTGTATGTTTAATTTTATTTACAGTAGTTCTAGCAAAATTTTGCCAGTACTGGAAGACACTTCAATAATTTTAGAGGAAGAGAAAAGTGCGTGACTTTTTTTTCAGCTGACTAGAGTTTAAGGAACTAAAAAATATCAGGTTCATTAACAACAATGTGATCATTTCGTCATAGATTGGCTCACGCTCAACAGTTATCAACGATAATCGAATAAAAAGAGTTGAACAGGCAGCATACTAAGCAACTAATTGAATAAGCACAGGGCTTCAATAAAATGCTAGCTTCTAATCAGGGCAGATAATATCCCACATATTCATTTATAAATAGCCACTATATGTTAACATAGCATAATCATAAACATACCCTGGGCTTGATGGGCTTTCCCGCATTAAACAGCACAGTAAATTCGGGATCATCCTTTCCCCACGTCCGATCAGCAATATGTCTTGCTCTGAACGCCTTCAACATTTTAACATTCATAGCATCATCGTCCCTAGTCGTCTGTAGAGGGGCTCCGGCGCGAAGTAAGACAAGTGCTCCTCGAAGGTGCTCCTCGACCTGATTGAGGTCTACCTTACGATCCACCTTCACACAAAATTATTTCAGGTTTAATGTCCACCACTTTAGCCGCTAAGCATTCATTTAGACCAAACAAAAGGGAGTGGTTTAGCTAGCTAGGCCATATAGGCCATATCTGTTTCGACTATATATGTTTAATCTTTCAGATGCCACCGTAATGTAATAGTTATCCTCCAAAGAAATTCAATTCTGAGGTAGATAAGAAGCAACTTTCTCTACTTAAATGGTAACGTATTCGAATGTCTCACGGCTCACACCCACGGATCCTGGCTTCTTTTGCTAAATAAGCTAGTCGCCTACAAAATCATGTCTAAGTTAATTCGTACATAGTAATGTATATTACCAGTTCAGATATGAGATATAGTCAATAATGTTCCGAATCTAGCATTTGAAAAAATCCGTTTATCTCAGGCTGATTACTAATACACGTCTGGGTAACACTTGACGGTGCAAGAGGTTTTTCGAGACACAGTCATGTGTGATATCTAAAGTTAGTTTTTTTCGCATAAACACGACGTGCATTACATGCCAAACTCATTATATTTAAGCCCAAGTCGATGATCATGTTGAGATCCGCTATAAGGGTTTCTTATTATTTAAACAAATATTACGATATATTTCTGTACTGCCTTTTCAACATCCTAACTAGCTACTTATATAGTACCTTTAATAGTGAGACAATCTCCTCCGCAATTGGCAAAACATTTTTCAAGCGTTCCCGATGGTTCAAACGATGAAGTCGGCGCAAAGCCTCCTGCAAGCCAATCGTATTTTCGGAAAGAAAAGGGTCGACCCAGTCTGGGCCTGGGCACCCCTCACGAATAGCCACTGTATGAATATGTTTGCACATTTTATCATCGTACATAAATTTGATGCACGTACAGCCATACCTGACCAAAAACAAGCAAAGGCAAAACAAGAGATTCGCTACCAAAATGAATCAAAAAGGCTTCACACAAAAATTTGTGAACTGCAATATTGACATTTTAAAAACTCATAAAGCACTAGCATAATAATAATACTAATAGTATAAATAATACGAATAACTTCCCTCTGTCTCTCAGCTTTGGCTATTAATGATACTTATGTTTACATTTCAGAATAGATAGGGGCATTACATGAATTTGCGTCGATGGTTCTCTTTATCAAGGTTACCTGTGTGCACAGACGCCACATTCTTGACACAGTTGCTCACATGTTTCATGTGGTGATTTTCGTGGATAAACAACGGTGGTATACTGGTATTTGTTTTCCACTGTCTTTCGATCAACTTCATTCGACAAACGATTCATGTGGATATGCCCGGTAGGGTCGTGCCGCAACATTCGCATATTGTCCATCTTCACGCGCACGCACATATACAGCAGTGACACCCGAATTATTAACAACGAGATCACTTTAATGATGACTTTTACTTATTTAAATGACACTTTTACTTATTTAAAAAACTGCTTTAATAAATAACACAACTAGATTTTTGTTAAGAGTAGATGGCCGGTGTCAACGTGATCCGTAATAATTACTTTGACGAGAAACAGAATTTTACCGTTCGTGTCGAGTAGAAAACAATCTATCGTTTTATGACGAAATCATAATAGAAGTATTTTACGAAAAACGTTTTTTTGCAAACATCACAATTATACAAAACAGCGATTAGAGAGTAGGGCTTTTTGTGATACTTACAGGGACAGTTTTGTGGTCATCAACACCATGTTCTTTCGGTAAATGTTGCAGCTCAGTCTCAAGAGACCCCAGGCGTTCCAAACCGTCTCGAATCATCTGCACGAGGAAGAGCCGAATCTGGTCGACATTGTTTGGGTCGTGCTTAATCTGTTGCCCATCGAAGAATCAATTTGAAAGATATACCATAATTATGACCATAGAACAGAGCATGTCTGTTTTTTTCTATATCAATACAGTTGGATTGCAGGATAAGATACTTATTTTTTGATATGAAATTGCATCTAGTATACTAGATGCTTATTTTGTCGCAATGAAATGTTTGTGAAATGATCTATTTTGTCAAACTATTTGTCCAAATTTTATTCAAACAAAATTGATCCGTTCATGGACAGAATCAAGTTTTCAAAACAGTAGCTGAGGTTACAGATACTTTACGTGGATTAAGTTGTCTATAGAAGTAAAAATATAATTTGCTTGCAGATGTTTAAGTCCTTACCGGAACATCAATCGTTCCTTTGCTATCGCTGAGATTGAGAACAACCAATATACGTTTTAGCGTTTCTGGGTCCATAATAACACTGCGACTCAGTTCCTGACCAAAGTAATTTCTTGCTGCTTCGGCAGCAATGGCCCGCTTACGATAGCCTTTCTCCACTAAATCTTTAATCCACGCTTTGTGCTCGGTAGTTAATCTACAAACAGCAAGGTATTATTTAACGCCTGTTACTGAAATATAAATTTAGACTTTCATGCTCTAGACACATAGTATGGATGCTACTAACTATGCGTGAAATAATAACATCTGTTGTATGAAAATGTTTAATATTTGCAGATACGGTCTGTTAAAAGCATAGCATATTTTGTTGGAATAAAGGTTCTTCTGTCATTATTGATATGAATGAGATGACTCTATTTTGTTACAAGCTGAGGTAGCTGTTTAAGTCAGGCTGGCATACCTGACATCGAGAATATTAGGTGTATGGCCGATATGACTCCTCCAGTAAGTAACAGTAACTCGGCCGTCAACCTCTCTAACGACCATGGCCGCTGGGCATTCCACTCCGAGTCGTTTTCTGTACGAGGTATGCATACTGTATTCGTCCTGAGTTAGCTTTCGACCTGTTCGGCAACAGCTGAATACTGCATTTGATTTGCTGTGTGTCATACCCATGTGCATAGTAAAAGTAGACGTGTCTTCCTGTTCGGTACGAATCTTCCATTTTTTGAACGCATCGTACGTTTCGAACTCGTGTCTGAAAACCATTTAAAGTAGTAATTGTAGTAGTAATGCGGTAATTGTGTCCCTAACATGTAGTTTCTTCACGTTACACACACTGTACGGCTACCTAAAAATACCTAGGTTTGCACAACAGAGATCTAGTGACGACCATTCCTTTGTTTTTTTGCCTATAAATTTTGATAGATGCATTGTCAACACACTCTGTGCATTCCAGCCGGGTGTCATGGTCGTCAACGATGTGACGAACCAAAGCCTCGTGCGTGACCATATCAACACGACAGAGTGGGCAAAGCTTCTCCGGTGCCTGAATCGACGCCATACGTCGTCCACGCATATGCAACCTCATGTGCGCATAAAGGTTCGGTCGAAACCCGAAATGATGATGGCAGGATGGAACTGGGCATCGGAATACTGCAAGTGGCAAAAATTAAGTCGGGGATGAATGTCAAAATTGCAGGCCACATATCGTGGACTACGAAGGTACCTTTGTGAAAGTAAACGTTACAGCATTCTAACATGCAATACTACAAGTGACTCAAGTGAAAGGAAACAGATCAAATAAAGGATAAAAACCACTGTATCTAAAAGAAAAAGAGTGAACAGAGAGAGAGAGAGAGAGAGAGAGAGAGAGAGAGAGGAAATGAGCTGGAAATTGAATACAAAAATGCTCTAAGTAAATGGACTCAAGTATTAAGTAGCTTTTATATAATAGTTTCAAAATCGGTAACATCCTCGTCCTTAATAATGTTTGCGTTCTTCTTCATTAATAGACGAGAGCACATCATTTAAAGAGAGAAACGTATCGATATACTGTATCTTCTTGAAATTCACGCTAAAACAAGGTGTTGCCCAACTTTTTCTCACCTCTTTTGCTGCCTACTTCCTCCATCTTGACTCTTTTAACAATGTCCATGTAATTTTCCATAGTGATAGGCGTTCTGTAATTTTGTGGTAATTTGTCACAATGCATACATTCTTATTAAACACGGTATTTTATATTTTGCGCTGTGTTATATAAAATAGCGTCATATCATAATATTCTTGAACACTCTGTGCAAAAAATTTCACTATGTTACAACATTATTGCAATTTACTATACATCGTCCATCTACTTTTAAGATCTTATTACGAATGACATCCAGTCTACGTCGTGTCAGGGGACGTTTCAATCTGTCTGTATGCACGTGGAACCAAATCTTCTTGAATTTGTGCCGTTGGCAACGGAATTAAGGACAACTGGTTGATTAAATCCCTGTGAAGAATAAACAGATAGTACCTATCCACTATTTTTTTTATATTTTATTAAACCATCTCATAGCAAAAATGCAATATAATCCCTGGCAAAAATAGAACAACATACTCAACCATCTCCTGTTTGCTCTCATCAAAAATCATCATTGTAGTGTCGTACTCCTCAAGGACTTTTTTCATTGGGCCAAGCGGTGGGGCAAGCGTCGCTGCAGCCTCTTCAAAACTTGGTGGAGGTGGAAGATGTACGTGCGGTGATGCCGGCTGGGGTAAATGTAATTCAGGACCGTGATTGTGGAAGTGTCGCCTACAAAGCATGTTAAGAAGTTCACTCACATGTACCGGACTACTTATTAGAATTCAAGGAAGATTTAGCTATACACTTTGAATTTAGCTATTAGCAATAGTTCGCCCATTCTCAAATCCAGCTAAGAGATTCTGATTCAGGAATTCCCACTAGTAATAAAATATTAATTCTGCAAACGCTTACAATATTACATGTATGTGCTTCGTCCATGTGTTCTACCTTAAGAGGAAGACACCGTTGCTGTCAAGAGACGCCGTAGCTTTGCACGGATCAGCTTTTCGGCGAGACTGGGAGCAAACAAGCTTGAATCCGTCCTTGAGCTTTTCTCGGGGTCGCATCAAAAAAGGTCCAACACCCCTGTGAGTTAAGGGCTGTCCATGTGAGGGGCCTGCTATACTGAAATTCCCTGCAGTTGCTGAAGAGTCCAGCAAAACTTCGTAAGGTCCAAACGCATCGCACCACCATTCGCTGGTCCGTGAACCACCTGGACCTCCCTCCCATCTGATGGCGCGGTAAAACATTGCCATAACTGATCTAAGGAAATGATAGTACGAGCTGTCGAAGTAAATTTAGTTCCTACAATACAGATCAATAATATTAATTGTTGACTATCGAATCAATGAGCTACAGTGGCGCTCCCTTCCTAGTTCTTTGGCAGCTAGTTGCAATAGGTAATTAGTCATTTAATTTTCTGTTGGCTATCTTGGTTACTTTCCTCATATAGAGTATAACTAAACAAATGATGTTGAGATATGATGAAAAATAGCTCAAAAGCCTTACAATATTAATTTATTCGTTTTTTATTCTCCAAACTACCGAATTATATCACAAGAAATAAAAGGACGCTTATCTGTTCAACAGTTAAAATGATAGCGCATCAATTATTTGCTTTGATTTTTCCTCAAATCTAGATGCATCTCATTTATGACTGCATAGAATACATTCAATTGTGACTCTTTCAACGTACTGCCTGTAAAATATTTTTCTTGATTTCACCTATTCGATCAATTTGTGTGCTATAAATAATGCATAATAACGTGTATTTGAAATTTATTGCATGTTGATTATGATAAATATTATGATTATTATATTATATATTATTATTAGTTTATTAGTATGTTTGCATGATATGCCACCTTTATTATCTACATATTCATGCCTTTTGCACATGCTCCGATTTTTCAGATGCAAAACATTCATTTTCATGCTCATCGTTTTGAATACTAACCTTAATCATTACCAGAGACAACTGTACGCAAGTTCTATTTGCTGAAAGTGAACCCATTGCACACACAGCTGTCAGACCAACTGAAAATCTCAATCTGGTTCTTTACTGTCACTTAGCTGCACAACGCACAATAGACAGGAACTTAAAAACACACAACCAGACTTTACTACTGACTTGTGTTTGTCATACTTCATAAAGTGGTGTTGCATATCTAACAATTTCTGTTTAAAAAAAAATCCCAGTTACAAAATAAGTGCAAGTATAGTTCCCAGAGTTTTTGTTCATCTGAGTTTGGATGCGAAAGATTTTTAGGATCGTTCTTCAATGCTTGATATCTGTCTCTGGTCATAATCAACAGACATGCAAATGAGTACTGTCCGATCTTATTGCCAGCATTCTACAAACCCCCATTCCGCGACCCCGGTTTCCGTGACAACGGTAGCTCTAGACGAATTTACCATTTTCCGCGGACGAGAGACGAGCGCGAATGTCTGCATCTTCTCACAGGCGAATTCGTCCTTCTCATTTCAAACGTTAAACGAGCGAAATTCATTCAACTCACCGCGTGAAAAGGGTGGCAGCGGATAAAGAGGAGAGACGACACTGAATGAAGTTACAGCTTCTTAACCAAGCACTGCTCATCTGCCGGATAGAAGCGTACCTCTTCGCAGATGATGGACGCCCACTAAAATCTCTCGTAGCAAATGAGCCATTTATTCGTCGTCGTTATAAGCTCTTCCCTACGAGTGGTTTTCCCGTTAGGCTCAATATTTAACAGCGCTCATTTCGCCACCGTTACAAGATTGATACAAAATCTTACACTCAGCTGCGACTGTATGCTACCCTGCTGCGGTCGGATGAATGCATTAGCCGACTAATCGCCGAGTGTCGCGCGTAATGGAACGGGGGCGGGCTATTGAATCTCAAATATTGTATTCTTCGGCAACACCAATGCGTGACAAATTTCATCATTTTTGTATTTAAAGAAAACGTGTTATATAGTTCTACTTTCCGCTTGACGTTGAAAGGTACAACATGCATAATTAAATAAAAAAGCACTTTTCGCTTTTATCAATGGCCGTGAAGAATGGAGGGAAAGTCCTACAGGAAAATACAATATAACAGAAGTATCTATGGTCGTGTTTTTGTAGAATAAATCTGGCAATGCTTCTGGGATTACAATTTTGACAAGCGGTGATTTTGATGCGCAGACTCACATGCCCATGTCTAGAGATCTGAACGAAGTATCAAGGGACTTATACAACGAAACTGACTTATACAAAAAATCGGAATGTTCTTATTAAACAAATACAATCTTTAGGTATTTTGATGCACAAAAGAATAAGTACTATTCCCACCGATTCGTAAACATTATTATAATAAGAATAGAGAACACGAGATTATAAAGTTAAAATCAATTTATAGATTGACTGAACAGAATAAATTGAACTAAAATCTATTAGGATTGAACAATGCAGCATCATATGTTCGCAATCTAAGACGTTTGCATAGAACCAGTCAACATACAAAATTTTGCTCAAACCAGTGAATTCTTGACTAAATTAAACAAGTTCAACTTTAATACGTTTAAGTTGCAAGTATACGAATTTCGTAAGATGAGATGACACGTGGTTTAAAATATTTACATTTATTTTCTCTGTGGTTTACATAATGTATGTTACTTCATCATGTGACTGGCCTCTACGCCACCTTCCTAGCTGTTTACTGCTATCGCCTCTTTTTTATGCTCTATTTTGCTATATTCGTCAAATTCTTTCCTAAAAACCTTTTCTACTTGACGCCGCAAATTCCGTTTTTCTTCGAATCCATTAAACTAAGTTTATCATCTTTTCGCGCTTCGATGAATTCATCTTTGTGGAGTGCTTCAAGCTCTTTCTCCGTGAGTGTGGTACCCTTTTCACGCGCCACCTGTTCGGCCTCTGAAGAGTCAGGGTCGAATCGCAAGCGATCCTTTTTCCAGACAAGCGGCTCAAACTGCTTCAGCCGACTTCGAGTTAGCTCGTTCGATGGCGTAGTTTTTACCTGCTTGAGAAACTTGTTTATTGTATAGGCCTGTGAAGGATAGTGAGCACGGTCCATAGCGATGGCTATATTCCGTAGAGCTTTTTGGTTTAAGTGAATATCGCGCAGTTCACAGTAGCTGAGCAGGTAGGCAAGGGTACCTATAACAACGAATGGGTAGCTTTAGATACACGAAACGGCCGACTTATACCGAGAATTGTCGTAAGAACAATACAACTGAAGGCAACAATACAGGTGTGCATTATTATGGTGGTACATTATTATGTATCTTTTCGTTCTGCTCTCCAAAAATACGTTTCCGTCAAAGAATGGTTGTGACACGTTCGGCTTATTTATCGAAATGAAATATGTAGTTGGGGTTGAAAATACAGCCCAATCAAATGCTCTTGTCCTAACAACGTACTGTAGGAATCCGCTTACAAATCAAAGAGTTAGTCGTTTCATACATGAATCATACCCAGGACCCTGCAGTTCCACGTTAAAATACAATGAGACTTGTACAATGACAGATAAAACCGGTTAATATTTGTCAGGAATTTGTATATGGATTGCTCAACTAACTTGCTTTGTGTTGCCTAGCGACATTAGTCACCAGCGTCGACATGATCACTTCATTAATGGCGTATTGCTTTTTTTCTATATCTTTGATGAACGCCTTGATCTCTTCGTCAGTCTGGGCCCTCATCGCTAAAATGCCATACGTAATGATATCCTTCTTCATGTTGCTGAAATCGCACAAAGCGACAACCATATTTTAGCCATTACAAGACATTTTTTGATGTATTACGCTTAACGATAATTCTGCAATGAATGACATTTATTCACATATTTATTTAAACATATTTTCACTTTGTGTTCACTGCAAATTTCAGTTAAATTCATCAAGTGGATATTACCTCGCGCCCGAAGCGACTACTACCGACAATTAGCATGGGGTCTGAGAATGACTAGGGAAGAAAAATCTATATGAGAAACGGTAACTCTCCAGCGCACTACCCATGTTCAGTATCTGTCTCTGCATACATGAATTACTGTATAATTTGAGTTGGTTTAGGCTAACCAGCAGTTTCGTCCAATCTCAATGGTCCTGACCTTTTACACCATATGTAGTTGGCTGAAGCCAAGACAGAAGTCAACCGCTTATAACGGTACTTGCTTTAAAAGCTAATTTAACAAAATTCAGCCAGCTCAAAAATAGAACAGATTATTTTGACAGACGAAAAAAAAAAATGTAAAATGCTTTATATATACGAAGTACGAATTCGTCTAGCAAATAGGGCCTACAATGTTAACTAATAAAGGCTAATTAGGCTAACTAAGGTTTTTAAATTCATAAATTATGTCATTAACTATATGCTATCCCAAAAAATGAGCCAGCTCAGACATGAGTGCCGTTTACTATGACTATGCGTTTCTGTCATATCGAACTACATTTACCTTTCGTTCATCATTTTTATCACCTCATCAACGCATGAAAGCTTCGAAACTATGCATTTTTTCAAAAGCTGATTCCAAAAGCCCACGTCTAGCACCGTTCTATCCAACGACCTGACGAACTGCATTAGTTCCTCTTCATTCGTATAAGCTTTCAATAGGTGACTATACGTGACCGCTGAGGGTTCGACCTGTAATCAAAGGGAAAAGATATGGCTACTGAGAACGACGACTAGCCTACGACGTGCAAGAACACCATGGGCAAATTTATAAAAAAAAAAAATAACTGTAAAGAAAAAAACACGTACGCGAAAGTAACTCATACTGGAGAGAATGCCTTTGGGGCCACCAACTAAGAGTAGGCGTTCTTCAGACGTTTTTGGCACAGTGGCAACCGCCACTAGCTGATCCTTCAGTCTGACGTCTAGAAGACTTTCTCCAGATGTAATCAGCGTTACCATCGGATCTTTAAGTTGACTCTGCCGGGCATCATTGAGCAGCCTTGCAAGACAGGAACCAAAAAAAAAGGACAACATTTTTTTAAACAAAAAAAAATTGCTAAATGACAATTTGTTTAAAATGGAATTTCCTAGATGCGTCTTATGAAAGTTGTTTAATATCTGTCCTTTTTTTGTACCAGATTATAAGTTATGGCCATTTAAGTATTAAAGTCCCGAAACAACTTGCCCACAAATATCTATTCGAAATAAAGGAATGATGTGATATAATACTTTGCTACAGTTTACAAGAGGGCAAAATTGAGAAACAAGAATGTAAAGATAATTTGCGCTCACGGCCTCCTAGAATTCCTTGCTGATATTATAAGAGGGCCGAGACTCAATAATCTCTTCCTCTCACCCTACTCGCTCTCTACCTCCCTCCCTCCATTCCTCCGAAATGTGTTTATACATGTATATATAAATGTCTTTGAACGTTGAAAAACGTCGTGTCTTATAACGTTCTTTTTGGTTAAGAAAATGATCTTTGATTAACTCAAAATCTTGAAAACATACTTATTTAACAAACTGATGTCGTCGCCACAGCCGCACTGCTGAGCAGCTGTTAGCAAATGATTGAAGGTTGTTGCGTTTGGCCGAATCCGCCTCCACAGCATGTGACGAAGCACTCGAACTGCCAGCACAAACCCTATCTCCTTGTTGGCTATACAGCCCATTAACAGGTGATTGTAAGTGTCGATCGTTATTGCGTGCCCCCGGGCAACCATTTCATCCATGAGCTAGATTACCGCAGAGATATAAACAACAAGAAGCAGGCATCAGACATTTTCAAAAAGACAAAAATATAATTAAAAATAGGTCTATATAAAAATAATATTTCAATTTTAGGGTTCACTCTGTTATTTAATGCTATTAAAGACTGATTCAATGAGTTCAAAGATGAAATATAATAATTATCTGCTACAATGAGTAACATCAACAGTTTTGTATAATGTTACTTATATATACATATATATGTAGTGTGTATCAGAAAACCAACCCGAAAACAGGCGTCACAATCGCCTTGTATAGCGAACGCCTTCATCATCGAGTGATAAGTTACTGCCGCGGGACGCCAACCCTGTATTTGTATCTGTAAGTAATTTGCCAAGTAGATCCACACTTGCTCAGATACGAATGTATTATGTATATTGTAGAAGGTGTGAATATAAAAGGGACTATTAATAAAAGTCAGCCGAAGTAATCTATACAAAATGCACACTAGGAAACGGAGTTAAATATTATAAACTTCTCAATGTACGATAAGCTAAAAGAAACGCGTACATTATTAACTGTCCAAGATTCTATAGAGCTGTACCCCCGGTTATATGTAACTGAATAGTGTACGTTTTGTTGTTTTTGAAGGCATTGTTAAAAATTTGCAAATGCTCTGAACTCTGTTAGAAGAGCCGGGGTACTTGTCAATAGGCGAAATATCTAAGACATCTTTCGTAATCAAGCACAGTACTTGTTATTTACCAACTTAGTTTCATTCTCTAGTTTGGAAATCAATAATAAAATCCAAACATTGCCTTAATTCTAATCACATTAAAATTTGTTATGGAAGCTATTTTGATATAATTATATAAATAACAGGACCCTATGGATATTAGCTGACTTCATTCAATACTTGCGCTACCTTTTAACGCTAGGCTGGTCGAAATACTAATGATAACTAACCTGCTCATAAAGATTACGGGCCTTTAAGAGAGCAAACGACCGATTTTCGTCGTTGTTTGCACAGGCATTAAAAAGGCTTGTAAGAATTGCAGAATTTGGCCGAATGTCTCGTGCGCGCAGATCCTGTAAGTTGAATTTTTTTGGTTGCGACAATCTGTGCGGCAATACCCTCAAATACTATAGATGACACCATAAACTATTGGTATTTCTTGTAAACGTGATGAGCTCCAATGCTTGTTGAATATTTGAAAGATATATATATAAGACAACAAGTTATCAACGCTAGCTTTTTATCATTACTTGCAGCAAGTCTCAGCCCCTTTATCTTAAAAAGCGGTCATACATATCTACAATAGCAAACGCTTAAGGTAAATTACATTTTTGTTCTTACACTTCTTGATTAAGCAAACAGGCTATAAACGTTTAATGTATTATGACTTTGTGATGCTTGTAATGGGTGTTATGCCTAAGAATATAAAGAACATCAAAATACGTCTAACTAGCCAAAATAACAGGAAATTCAATTAATGAAAACCATTAACTGTTTTCTTTTAGTTTATTAGTATATATGTTACAATGGTCAACTTTCACATTGTCCATATGGCGCATGTGACTTTTGCAGTAAAAATGATCGCCATTTTACCACTTCGCTATAAGCCCACTCGTTTCTTTCTGGATGGCTTTGTATTTAGTATATAACAAGTCCTTAGCGTCATCACCTATCCATTCTTCGTACAAGAAATTAACATCTACGTCCGACTCTGGTATGCAGGCATTTTCAGTCTGACTTTTGCGGAAAATCTCGTGAATCTTTTCGAGAAGCTCTTTACCGTTGCCCTTTTGCTCAAATGGTCGCAGTTGAGCTCCTCCATTGAGGCAACCTGAAGGACAAGCCATTACCTCTATAAAGTGATATTGGCAGGTGCCACGTTTGATTCTTTGTACAATGTTCTGAATATTGCGAAAACCATTGCAGATGGCAAAGCGTAACATTACCTCTTCACCACGCTTAAATAATACTTCAAGAAGGTCTTTGTTTTTCAATGCTTTAAGTTCGCATGTCCTTTCTTCTGCAAAGAGCTCCTTAACGGCAGACGTAAAGACATAATCGCAGAATCCTCCTGATCCGCTGCCTTCGTGCTGGTAGCAGCTTTCGAGCGAGAATGGTCCTTCAAGTGCAGATCGTTCACTGAACTCATTGAGCTCCGTAAATGCAACACCTTGCTTACCCAAAAGCTCTTCGATTTCGACTGGAGTGACAACACAGTCCACATCCCTACTCTGCGTAACTTCGTTGAAAAAATCGTCTCTTGAAGCTTCAAGCTTTTTGTCGAAACAAGGCATCATCGTTACGTGATAAACTTTTGATGGCTCAAGTCCCATTTTTTTGGCCAGCAATGTTTTCACATAGCGACCCATTATCTGTTGCGGTGATCGAACGTGGCTCATATGCGGTAATATTGTGTCCCCGTGAGTTTTTTCGATATAACATACGAAGCCTGGGCATGCTGAGCTCAAGATCGGCATACCTTTTCGCTCCTTGTAACGCTGTACAAATTCCTTCTTTGTCTCGAGAAGTGTGAAGTTCCTTGCGAATGATGTTTCTATAACCTCTCTGGCACCTAGCTTCTTGAAAAACGTCTTTAACTTTAGCCCAGCGCTTTGATATGACACGTCATATTTAGCTGCAAAAGACGCACGCGCCTGAGGAGCAACAGATACGACAACCTGACGGCCATCGGGTTGCGATAAAACTCTTAAAAGTTCGTCAATGCTTTGCTGAGTGATGAGGACGCTTTCCGCTGACGTAATGCACCCGCTGCATGCCAGACAATCGTTAAGGGTTATGCCGACTTTTTGCAGTTTGGTGTTCTCTTCAGGCTTTATCAAGGCATCGCTTGCTGTGTCCCCTATACGTATCGAGCCGAGAGGCCTTTTGGGCTTCTCTACCTCGGCTGGCTTTATACATTCCTGTGATGGCGTGATAAAGTCATTAAGGTCGGAAATTTGCAAAACGGAGCTGAAACCACCTGACGCCATCGCGTCCAAAGCGAAAGTGCACACGAGTCCTTAGTTGTTATACATGCATTGAGTGCGGTAGATCTTCCTCTGGACAACTGAACCACATGGCATTACACAAAGCCAGCGTAGGAAGTGCAGAAGGGCCCTTTTTCATTATTATCTAATTTGGAACGTTCACATTTACATACGCATATAATATAATTAATAACCAATAGTTATAACTGAATATATATAGTATTTCGACAGCTAAGTCTTCTACTGATCGACTACTGAATATTCTACTGATCGACGGTTTCACGAGAGCTTCATATCAGAGAAATATGCAATATTTACTCATCGTGTTGCGCTCTGTTTTTGTTTAGATGATGCTGTGATCTTTACCTGCACGCGAACAAACGTGCTGCGAATTCGTTCTTTTTTCCATCTGTTTGAAAATGTTTGCAGTAAGTTGAATCAAATACATCCAGCTATGACGATTAATGTTTAGCATAATTCGATCGGTTACAGTAAGCTTACCCTGAAAATTTTGAATGCGAGAGCGGTGTGCCCAGTTCTGCCAATGGATGCTAACAAAATACTGTAGATACTTCTGTCAGGAACTTTTACTTCTTCGTAGAAATACGTGGCAGCTTCCGATACCTTGAAGATCCGCAAGCAAATATGTCAGACTCGATTTAAATTGAAACTAAAGAAATATATTGATATCATTTATTTGTAAACAAACGGATTTTGGTTGCGCATGATAGTGTATTATCGGACCTTTTTTTCTTTGAGAAGCTCAAGTAGTTTTCTTTTATGTATGTTCTGCCATTTATCGATATTTTTCCTGAGTTTAAAGGGTTTTAAGATGAGACCGGAGCAAAACCTCCTCGCGGACGAAGGTCCACTAAACAGCTGATAGCATGTAACCATTATGTCGTTGTAGCAATAACAGGAAATAATAATTCCTTAATGGTGGCTGAACGACCGTTGAAGGAGATGAATTATTTCTTTGGGTATCTAAAAATCCATCAACGCAGTTACTCCAGACCACTTGACTGAGTTCTATCGACACAAATATCGGTATAGCCTGATGTATTCGATGCTTGTCTATACCAACAAGACCGTACACGAACTGTTGGATAGTACTAGTCGGTTTGCTGACGAACACAGATGTAAACAGCGCATATTAGATGTCGGGAGCATTTCTTGACGTTTCGTTGGTGAAGACACTAGGATACTCAAGCCCTATCAAAAAAACAATTGCGATAACCCTACTCCACAGATAAAATACGAGGTTATTCGGAAGTTCTTCGAAAAATGTCTGCCATAGTCTAAGAGCAACACATAGACGTTCGGTTATTGCGCGTAAAGGCAGAGGTAAATTTGGATCGTCTAGAGAGACACCAGACATGCGCTGAAGTTTGAGCGTATTCTATATTGTTGGCTTGGTCAAAACATTGTTTGCTGCGGTACGGAATAAAGCAGCTTGTCTTAAAGAAGGTACATACAGCAATGATCAGCGCCATTTCAAACTGAACTTTGTGTTGGAATCGAACGACTTGATCTATAATAGACTTGCACATCCAAGGTGAGTAGAGTACAAGATCGTGCAACTATTTATGTCAAGACGGAATAAGCGATAGCGAAGTAATTAACAACAGCGTGTCAAATGAGCGCGAATAAGTTTTTGGTTCCCATCCGTTTTTTCCCATATTAGGTCAGAGGGAATAAAAATGTGGAAGTTTCGTTTAAGATTTCGAAGCAATAGCGTTTGGACTAGTCAATTCGATTACAACTTCTTGCTCAACATATAACTAATAGATCCGCATCGACATTGGTTTTCGATAAATAATTGGTGATTCATAGAGAGCAATTCCTTACTTGTGTTTGTGTGACGCATATAACTTAGGAACTCAGCTAGGGATTCTCCTTGCAAACGTGCTATTTGTGTTTACAGAGTGAAGTGATACGATATGGCATTTAATTAAGGAAATTGTTAATTTATCCCCTCACAGTTAACTTTACACATTTCGATCATTCACAACCTCTTAGCGAATCACTTAGTTCATTATGTTGAAACGTTATTATTTTTATGATACTTTTGTGTATGGTCTGAAACAAGCAGTAAAAATGTATTGACTTTAAAACATTGAATTCCAAGTTTTTATCGATCTATTGTTTTGGCAATAAGTTACCTAGTTACCTAGAAATAACATTAAAGAAATAAGATATCTTACTTTACTTCGGCAAGTGGTCAAATTAGAACAAAAATGGGAAAAGTCCGTCGTACACGGAAACCTCCTCCCGACGGCTGGGAACTGATCGAACCAACCCTAGAAGAACTCGATGCTAAAATGCGCGAAGCAGAGACCGAATCCCACGAAGGTAAACGAAGGGTCGAAAGTCTTTGGTCTATCTTCAAGATACATCACCAGCGATCGAGGTGAGTTAAAAGGGTTCAGGCAAACAGCATAATGGTCTCAGCAATTATCGTTATGGTTAGTTAAAATTTATATAGACAACCATTTATGACTGTATAAAAAAGTTGAGGAATCACAGTCTCCAAGTAGCTATTTTTTATTAAGTTTAGGATTCAATTTTTTATTAGGTTTAGGATAATTATATTTAGCCTATATTCTTTTCACATCCTCATGCTCTAAAAACCTTTATATTACGCACTGAATATTTTGTCTTTTAGGTACATTTTCGATCTTTTCCATAAGCGTAAAGCTATCTCAAAGGAACTCCTTGAGTATTGTGTGAAAGAGAACATAGCCGACAAGAACCTTATGGCTAAATGGAAGAAGCAGGGCTATGAAAACCTCTGCTGCCTTCGTTGCATTCAGACGCGTGATACAAATTTCGGCACAAACTGTATTTGCCGGGTGCCGAAGAACAAACTCGAAGATGGAAAAATTGTGGAGTGTGTCCATTGTGGATGCCGTGGATGTTCTGGCTGAGCTGTATATGGCTGCGATCTGTAACCTATTTGTAAAATGTGCACTGAAATATTAAAAAAAAACAAGCACTAAACAATAAATATATATTACACCTGTATATAATATATAAATAGCGTCTTACCTAGTAATATTTAAAAAATTACTATTTCACTTATTTTAAATCTATAAATTTTACGAATCCTACGTATTTTTCGTTGTTAGCCTTTTTCTTGTTTTTCCTTAAACGTCGCGTAAGAATCAAAGCTCCGATTATTTCAATACTTTTTGTTTTGTGGAAAGCTTTTTTACGAAAATGTTATTATTCCTATTAGACTAAACAAAAGAACTCATCTTTCTCATGAGTACAGATCATGTGGACTTTATTTTGCGAAATTAGAATTTGAAAAAGTTGGACTAAGTATTCATATTTGGTTTAAGTTATGAATGGTAAGCTGCACACAAAAAACATCCTTTGACGTTTAGTGTGCTAGTCTGATGAAATAATTTAGCGCAATGATGCGATGCGTCACTGCAGTCGCTTTTAGCGCCTCCAGTTCGCGTACCAATGCACTGTCAATCACTAGGCGACAACCTTGAACAACAGGTCTAAGCTGAGGATGTGTATTCATAGTGAAGGAATAACCACATTGTGCGAAAAGCTCTTATTTGTAAAATTCAGAGAAAAACAACAAATTTGCTTAGTCGCGATAATACGCGCCTGGAAACCGGCCCCGAAGCTCGATTGGAGCTTTCGCGACAGACTCCCCTAAAGTGCTGATTATGTTCCTATCTTTGGCAGGAACTTAATCACCATTTTAAAAGCGGTATAAATACATTTTGACGTCAGCGCCATTATTACTGAGCCTATTCGCAGTGTCCCGTGATCAGTTTAAATTCACCTTTATCGGAACAGCTCCATCAAAAAACTTGGAGACCTTTCTCCGACTTAATTTTTTGTATTTCAGAAAATAGGAAGAGCGGATCGATTTTAGCGTCTTTTAATAAAACTTATTGTTAAGGCCGTTTTCTTTTCAGGTTCCGCTTGTTTTTATCTGCTATAGCGTTAGAAAAACTTCTTAATTACATGTTGAAAACAACAAACATAATATATTATTTATAGCTCTACCAAACTTGGATATTGAGCATAATGGTATCAACAGTAACTTATTTGTCACCGTTGCTTGCTATCTTCTAGAATATCTCTATTACATTTTTCACCGATTCGGAACAGATAAAGGCCCTATCAGCTAATTAAGCACGAACTCGCCACCAATAAAAAAAAAATTATATTGTTGTACAGATCCCTGGTACAGCTCGCTTGATTTCGTTTATTGTACATATCATAGAACTCCTGTGCGATCCTGATTTATTTCGAAGTCAATCACTTATGAAATGGTTCTAAAGTCTTTTTATCTTAATTATTATAAAATAGACGACAATCAACAGCCTTGTGAGTAAGTTGTTAATTTAATATTGCCTCAAAGAAGACGCGTGTCTACCATTGTGAAATAATTATCTATTAGTCAAATAGGAAATATATCGTACACATATTTCTACTATATATAGCAAAATCATTATTGTGCCAACTAAAGCTTTTTCTAAAAGCTATAGAATTCATGAACTATACAATATTAAGCACGGGCCGCACCATGAAAATAAAATGGAACAAAATGTGTACAAATAAGAACCCTTAGGTCGTTTTGGGTCTTGTAGTCAGTGCATTAACCAGCTGGACGAACATTCGATATGTACGGTGTTCACGCGTTGTCTTGAACGCGACGAAGTAATCGAATTAATATAGAAAATGTAATTGGAAATGTGAGCCCAGCAGAGTCGTTTCCAATAACCTTCTGAGCCCTTTTATTAGATGAATAACTGGCAGCTCGGATTAGACCATTTTGTTACCTGGACAGATATAGAATTTAAATAGGTAATTGATTGAAGGAAGTGACCTAATTTGCCATTTCACTAATTGTTAAAAGGTTCTTTCGAGTTATCATAATTTCCGGGTTATAGCTACAGAATGAATAAGCTTCCACTCGGCGTACTATAGTCATTTCACTGTGATTCTTCCTCTCACCAGAACATTACAGCGGGTACAATATATAATACAAGTTTGGTAAGAAATACCAATGAAGTTTATTGATCTCCCTTACGAGTTATCATAATTTCAAGATTTCGTTGATTTTATCCAATGACGAGCAAAAACTATTACTAGCTAGCAGCAACTGGTACCTGCATTTGAATGGTTCTTTTTAACTACCGCACACACAGAGGGAGATACAATGGAGCGAAGATTGTTTGACATCGTTTAAACCAAGATAAGAATAATACTGACACTGACAGCTTTTAGGATTCTGTATATTTACCTGTCCGCTAGCTTAAAATATCCTAAATAAATAGGGTGGATGCCAAATGATCTTCGTGTATGTGGCCAAATTAGAGAAACTAGAAAAATAGGAATGGAATATCCACATTGAAACGTTCTATTTATGAAGCAAGGTGCCTTTTGGTGAAATATTGGTGCCAATGAAAATAGTATTTGCAAAAGAATCATATTAAGGAAACGGCAATATTGTTAGAAGCCAAAGACGACGAAAGGCACGTTAAGCCTATAGAACCATAAAACATTTTCGATCTTGCTATGGCGCACCACTTATAATATATTAAATGCTAGGTTTTTCATCGCTGTTGGTTTACAAGAACGACGTGCTCTATAAAATGACGCATTTGTGCAGATACTAGTGAGTCGTTACAGCATTATGAAGCCGTGTTGTTGGTGAAGATACAGTATCGGTCAACTCGCAAATATCCAAGGGAACTTCTTAAATTTTAACGGGATAGTTTTTTAGTAATCGATTCGATTAAATGTATAAGAGATACGTGTCTAAAAAGACGGTGACAGTGCATACGATAATGGCTTAATCTTTTAGTAGTTAAGAATAAATGCTTAGGTATGAAAAACCTCAGAAGCCTCATAATGTACTATATAACACCTAACTGTTTGCTGTAAAACGCAATAGTGTAGCTTTTGAGAATGACTGGATTAAGTGGCATTTTATACGAGCGTAAAACTATTATAAATAGGAAAGAGGCAAGTGAGTCCGCTCTAACTAGCGAAAACTTGTAAATACGCACTACAGTAAAAGACGAAACCTCAGCGAATGAGTGAATTTAATGTCATGGGTATATCTTTATTAAGAAAAAAAGTTTTATTTAAAGTAGGTATTTCTTTGCGAGAACCACGAATTTGGCTATACTAAAACTAATGTAGTGATATAAAGACAGTTGTTTCCTAAACTGTAAACGGAGGATCATAGCATAGATGTGGCCGTAAGAAGTTCTGAAGTACAGTGTAGTAGATATACAGAAAAACTCCTGGTTTAAGTTTCCTTTGGGCTAAGATTTGGCTGCGTTTGTTTGCCATATAGACCTTTCCTCACCAGCATTGAGGCTCCAATTTATATATATATATATATAAATCGGGTAATCGATCCTACACTGTTTTCAACCATTACATATCGCTTAGACAAAGAAGTATAGAATCTATCTGTATATGTTTCTTGTCACATAACAGCTTTATTCCACGTCTCCTTTTTCTTTATCATGCGAACGTGAGTCATGTTAATTAATATAGTTTTATGAAGTGTATATCTGTCAACCAGTTTCTGAAGTTTTAGGTAGCAACTTTTATTTTGCCGATTCACTTTTTGTGAATCTCGTCAAGATATAATCCTGCATTTGCCATCGTTTGCCTCAGTTTTTTTTAAAATTCTTCTCTCAACATCCATTGGAAGATACAGTTTGCTATGTTTATAAGTATTTACTAAGGGACGTACGGAGAAGGAAGTTCACTGAAAGTTACTGTCAAAAAAGGTCGAACTCAAGTTAACCTATTATGTTTTTACGTGTCAACACTGTACTCTTTAAAATGTCAATGTACTAAATATTATTTATTTAAATACTATTCTGTTTGTATAGCATATAATGTAGCTCTTTAGAGCTACGTTATATACTATGCATCGTTTGGTAGTAGTTTTTCACAGAAATGTCATTACTATTGTTGTCAGAGGAGCAGAGTGGATAGTAACGAATCTTGCCATTATTGCGTGACCCTTCTTTGGAAGAGAATACTTTGCGAAACCGGTCGCAAGGAGACGCCTACCACTTCGGCAAACGAAACCTTTTTTCCGGGCGGTGGGTAGACATGAAATTTTTGAAGGATTGATACGAAATAGATAAACACTTCCATTTTAGCGATAACTTCACCTGGACACGCGCGCTTGCCTAGGTTGGCAAACCCGGAAGAAAAGCCATAGAATGTTAGGAATTAGATAGCTATCAATCATTAATGTATCAGTATTTTCAACAGTAACAGCATCATACTATCCATTCTATAAAAGCTAACTATATTCACTGGAAGTACCATAGAGATGAAAATTCAGTGAAAACTACTTTCAAAAGGGTTAAGCTATTCTAGATATGATACCTATTATATATATAAAAACATAGAAACACCTCTGCATAGATTATCTTACGCAAGATACTCATCGTAAGTTTTGGAGCAATTAAGCGGGCATCCAAAAGAAAAATTCGAAGACTACGTTTGCGATACACGTGTGTCGCGATACGATGCAACGGCAAAAATAAGTCGTTCTACTAATACCAGTGATATACGATATCAATCGATCTACAAGTAGTAACTGTAGTTACCATTTTCTAATGATTTAAAAAAAGTACGTATACATATAAGAACTCAACCTACACATATATATTTCTTACCGTAAGAAAACGGGACGAGATGCTCAGGTTTATGAACTTTCAGTTCGCCGCTCTCGGATCTTTTGAGAAAGCGTTCGGGACGGTATTCATCAGGTTGATCCCAAAAGTTCTTGTCGTTGTGAATAGACCAAATGCATGAGATCACAATCGATCCCTTGGGAATGCGGTAACCTTTGACATAGGTTTCCTCCGTCGACCTGCCGGAATGAAATGCTAGAATAAATCCTAGTACAAAATGAGAAAGTTTAATCTTTATTCACACGTGGCATGATCAATATATTCCATTCGACAGAAACTTTTTGAAGGTTCATTTTAATCGTGCCGTCAGTAATGAATCTTGCGTAGATATGGTATCGAATGAACTGGTGATACTGGTATGATTTTGTTGATTCGAACTTCTATTATATCGGTATAACACTGGTAAATTTTTGTTGCCATTGTAACAACTATATTTTCATGATTTAGCTAAGATTCTCACAGATAATTTGTGTATATATTAAATGGCTATCGGTGCAATGTGGGTTAGCTAGTCTACTAAAACTTGCTAAAATTATCGCGCATGCTTACTTGCGTAGAATATTGATTGGATTGATAGGCTTCCAACGGAAGAGTTCCCAAATAACGGCCATTGTGTAAGGCATGCTTCGATTGTCGTCCCACGTTGGCTTACGATCGCCAATCACTTGATCGATCTCTGCTTGGACTTTTACTCGGATATCAGGATGCGCTGCACAGACTAAAAGGAGCCAGTCAATGGTTGTTCGAACTGTCTCTGAACCCGCGCCGAAGAATGAGGCTACATTTCCAATCAAGACATTTCCTAGGATTGAAAAACAAAACAAATATCAAATCAGTTCACAAAACGAACAGTTCACATTGTCTAATTTGTGGGCACGGGTGCAGAAAGTGTTTCAGTTCTAGGAAAAGACGAACTCTTATTTTGCAACCCCCAAAATTGCATTTATACAGATCAGTGTATATGCAAAATAGACCCCTTTTTGCTGGATCTTTCGAATCAGATTTAAAACAACTTAATTTCTCATGTCGTCTAGTGAGAAACTACGATGGGAGACAAATGTCGCCGTTGTAATTGAAGTAGTCAATTGAAGGAGTAGTAACTCGAATTGGCCTGGAGCTCCATCAAAGTCTAGATAGCGTCTAAGAAGTGCTTTCGTATGTTCCATCTGTATGAAACTTTTGAGATAAAAAATCTGTTGGTCTAGTTTAGCGCTGGTGGTCTGGAAGATGTGTATACTATGATAAAAATTTATGCTTTCACTTCTTGGAAAAACTAGGCTTATATTGAAGGTTAAATAAGTGCACACCTCAATCGATGATCACCGGGGTCGCCCACACAGTCCATTAGACTACGCTGCAAGGTAAATCTTTGAGACATAGATTAGAACACTCACTTCTGAAGGATGGTCCCTTCGTTTCGTTCTTCATCTCATGCAGGAAATAATCAATGTAATCTCGAAACATGTTATCTTTAAAGGTTTCCTCATGCTCTTTGACTCGTTTCCTGAAATACGGAAATAATAAGATGAGTCGATCCTCAATACGTTCTCTATTCTAATAACTTCACTTATAGATAATATATTTGTATAATATATATTAAAAATCCTTTGGGTCAGTGGAGTCTCTCCTATTTATCCACGATCAGGCCTGGAACCACATAAATGTGTACTTCTTTGTCATACATCTTCTAGCAAAAGTTATTATTTTTATATTTAGAAGTAATTTTTGACGTTGTTTGTTGCGTTACTTCTTAAGAATCAGAAAAAAACTGAATTAAATTAAGTTCAATAACGCCTTTATTTTCGCAAAAAGGGGAGTGAAATGCAAATCCATCATATGTCTAAAAAAGACTCACTCGCAGAAAGCCTCTCGTTGAATAAGAGCTTCGCGAAGTTTGTTGCATGACCCCCACTTTAGCCAGAGGGCAATCTTTTTTAGCCACGGCATGTAGTGAATGTAAGTTACCTGTCCAGCACGACGGGGAATCTCCTGAAAATTGTAGGTAATCATGAGTAATCATGTTCTGATGCGAATTTGTTAAAGTGAATTACTGTGTTATCAAAATTTAACTATGTCTATGGTTCGAGCTTTACGTCCGGTACTGCCGTCGGATGGTTAACTTCCAACACAAAACGAACTGTGTCTACGTTCGGTTTCGCCACTATCACGTGTCCCTCAAGTTTGGCAGGCGAACACGCCACTTATTATAACGTCATAATGAGACAAATTTCGGATTATAAGACGAGACCTCATAATGCAGTACCGTGCTTTAAACTTTTATTTTCTTTCGTAGCAGTGTTCCACATAATTAGGATCCACATTATATATATACAGTTTCTCAATAATTTATCGCTCTTTACATTAAAAACTATTATCAATATGTTAGTTGCACAGTCCAATATTTTAATCTTAAGTAGGCTTTGAGCAACTTATTAATTGGTGATTAATTGAACAATGCGCATGTGGTAATCTATTTTTATTAGTTGTAGGATGAGTTCAAATAATATTACCATAATAAGATTATCGAGCATTATTCGGTCCGGATCGTCATATTCAAAACGCTTGCCAAAGGTCAGTGAAGAGATGATATTTGACATTGACGGAATTAGCAAAATTGTCGGTTCAAACGGCGTGTTCAGATGTTTGTCGATCTCCATAAGAAGATGTGAAACCTCCAGCTGAGCAGCATATTCAAAAGAGAGCACCAAACATGAAAGCGAATCTTAAATAGATTAACGATGAATGCATCTGAGCCTTTTAATAGATGCAACAAAGTTCCCCATTATAAAGTACATCTATTTTTGATGAAGAGGCTAATAGCTCATCGCAGTTGCTATAAAGATGCACGACGTCGTTACTTGATGTCTTTCTTTATAAAGTTTTTCTGCGGTAAGCTCCTTTAAGGGGATCGATATATTTACCTGTCTTGACGATATTTATTTTGAGATTCAATCTATGTCCATATAACAAAAAAAATATAATTCGAATTGTATTTTTATTTTTTTTTACGGAACATATTATTTTTGTAATTGGTGCTAAACTACGATTCACTGCGCGTCTTTTTCCGAATACGCACAGCCTCTGCTACATATGTATATATGTATTGATATATACCTGAATATGATGTTCGAGTGTTTTTTCAGTGAAAGCAAAACTCTTAAAGAGCTGAAGAGCATACCGCCTTTGTTCCTGCCAAAAAGGTCCATTCATTGTCATCAGATCTGGAGAGCAGAAATTGAATATATATATATATATATATATATATATATATATATATATATATATATAAATTTAGTCCTTTATGTGACCTAAATGATAGTGAATAATGCATTTAACTCTTTTTTTTTTTATAGCAATTAAGTAATTTCAGTGCTTCGGCCAATCATTGCCAATTAGATAACACTGCCGAATAAAACTTAAAGCCGTACCTACAAATGTTGAAACAGATTACTAACTTTGCCGAACAATATACACGTCTTTAATATTGATCATTATAAATGTGACACAACGAATTCCATAGTGGCACTTACTCATAGACTCCTGGTAAATGGCAAACGGTATTTCGGGGGGGCGTTCAAGGGCGACGTCTTTATTAAACACTTCTTTCATCGTCTGGAAGTCGGCCAAGCAGACAACGTAACGCGAGCCGAAGTATAGTCTGTTCATTGGGGATTTAAAGAAAACATTCTTTTTAGCTCTTCTGTATGCAGCAGGTGTTTGCTGTACTAACACCCGTACGTTACCACTAATAGGGTCTAGGGAAAATCATATGAAACCCGCCCCACTTTGGATTTGAGATGAGATAAGCTGATCTGCCTGCTCGAACCGAATGTGAGCTACACAAATAATACTTCTTAATAATAAATATTATATGTTTGTTACCAATATTGTAGAGAAACCTCAAAAGTGAGTCATGGACTAGAGAAAAACAAGTATATTTTTTATGGCATGTAATATTTTTCACCAACAGCTCAAAGATTACATGCCACATAAACCAAGTTTCACATGTAAAATATTTCCGTGGTATCGTGGGATTCACGCCCACTAAAAGTCCAAACCGCGCTCCCTGTAACTACTGATCTAAAAACAGGGATTGGTATCCACAAAAAGTAAGCACTATTTTTAGACTGTGGCATAGAAGGATTGCAGCACAGCGCAGATTTATTTGTAGTCCTCTGGCATCGGACAGCATGATGACGTTCCGTACCAAAAAAAATACAAGTAGGTAGCATTTTTAGAAATCGGAAAGCTCTTTTCAATGCATAGGTCTGGTTTTAAGACAAAGAGTAAAAATAAATAGTGTATTTTCATAGGCAAACTTGGGACACAAGTCACCTTTGCATATACTAATACTTGTAACAACATCTGGCATGCACCTATCTATATACGTGCACTATATAAGGGTAAAGAGATTCTTACAAATAAGTTGTCTAGAGCGAATATTTTTGCATCTTTAGGAGGCGAATGTACATTAGTACAGTAAATAAATTTGGCAGTTTCTTTAAAGTCAACCAACTTAGCTGAATTCGGGGTTTTTGTCACTGTAGAATCAGGTAGAACCAGCTGTATACGGCATTTGCTACAGGGAACAAGAGTATATGAACCGGTTCTAACTCTGAAATTTATTATGGAAAATACATGAGTCTCATTCGTTTTGTTTTTAAGTCGGACCTGTTCTGTGTAAGCAAACTTTTAATTACTTACAGACTAAAACATGAATAGTGTGTATGTAATATGATGTTTATCATCTCAAGACCAGATCATGTTTACCGAATTTACCTTCCCAGTGTTTTGATCTGCGTTTGCGTCTAAACCTCAAATCACAAATTATCGATCTATATTAGAAAGGATCGCAAAACATACCCGTCTACGCAAACTTGCGCGCACTCTGAGTTTTCATGGTTGAAGTGCCTCGATAATCCCTAATGGAGACGTTGCGATGCCAAAATTATTAGGTTTGACACGAATAGGAAGTGCCTTTCAAGCTACGAAGTTCTTCAGCCATATCTAAGAACAACTGTGAACTCTCCTATCTGATATACTGCGCAATCACTCACCCGAAAATGGATCCATATTTTCGACGAAGTTCATCCAGATGCCTGGGCGGGTCTTTGGTTAGGAAGGGCAAATAGCCGACAAACGGATACCAGCAAATAGGACCTGGTGGAAGTCGGGTAAAGAATCGACGGTACACATAGATCCCGAGCAGGACCGACAGGAAGAGTACTAACTCGAACATCGCGATTCTTTCTAGATGCCTCTACAAGAGGTTATCCATTCTTACATAGGCCAAGTGTTTGCGCATTAGAAATTGATTCCTTAAAGCACATACGAATATAAATCAATACTTTAACCAGTTACCACTACCCTTCAAGTAAAAGCTCTCTTACTAGGATAGCAAAATTAGTAAGGCGTCGCAAAGCTGAAATACTGTTAAATGTTCATTAACTAAATTCAATTGAATATCATAGCAAGTAATTAAGTAGCTGCTAAAGCAGGACTAAGTTGATCAACAAGACATTTCAACAGAAGTGAATGTACACAGCTTGGCTGAATGATTACTCTCTATGAGACAGAACGTAAATGTTGCACTCAAAATATGAAGGTATCAGCAAAATAACTAGTACCGCTGAAGTTGTACCTGGGTAGGGCATAAGGCCTATAACCAACAGAGGTATTACAAAAAGAGATTCTAGAAAGTGGAGCGTCAATTTGCTTTGTTTGATTTTTCATTATCGCGTGACAGGCTATCTTAAGTGGTCTTGATTGAGAACCAACAGCCAAAAATATTCTCGTGCCGATAGCGCGGACTGTCTGAAAAGCTTACGAAAGTTATGAAAGACTTTCAAAAAAGTCCACACGCCCTGTATGATTCCATTTCCACTGTTGCTAGTCAGATAATTTGCCCCTGTCTAGTTACTAAAGTGCTTCTATGAGCAGGTGGCTCTGCAGCGTATTTTGCCCAAAAGGTTTTTAGTAAAAATGTTTGTCAAATTATTTGTTTGTCAAACAACACCTTGGTGAAATTAACCAGTTTCAAGGCCGCACAATTATATTTTGATAACAGAAGGTAAATGATATGGTTGCTTGCCAGGTAAGAATTGATCTCAGATGCATTTTTTTTTGTCTGGATGACGCGAACTAGCACGCGTTTTACGTTATCAAAGAAAGCGCTTTCAGACGCTTCTAATCAACTAACTATTTAAACTATAAAGGTACAACATTGTAAGTACTTATCCATACGCGTATTGAATGTACGCCAAGTGTTTAAGTGAAAATGTCTCACGACGAAAAGCCGTTAAATGGATTCGATGTATCATGAAAATACAAAAATTAATGTAATTAAATTGAAGCAATCGTTACCATAGTGGCGTCATTTAAGAACACTGCCCAAGGTTAAATTCTAGCTGAGTAAACATATTGTATTGGCAAATTTTCATAGACAGTCGATGTTAATATACCGACGACAATGAGCAACCGAAGTCTAAATATTTTTTAACTCTATCACAAAAAACATTTTCAAGCTCAAGTAGCGTCCTGTAAGTCCGTTATAGTAAATAAGTTATATAAGTCCATTATAGTAAATAACTCAATCGCGTTAGATAATATCCATACTACAGATTAAATACAAGCAAATAAATGAAGATTTTCGAATAAGTTTGGTGACGCCCAAGCTCCAATAAACTATGTTTCTTTTTAGACACTTAGATTATATGAAATATTTCCGCTCAAAGGCAATTAAATCAATTGGTTCGGTCAATCATTTGAAAGCGCACGTTTAAACTGATTTATGAATATTATTCATTATCCTAAATAGGGCCCATTTGTATGAGTTCTATAACTTTAACCGTAGTTGCGTCTACCCCTCTCGATTGCCGGACATCACTGTTTATTTTGGTACAAAACTGAAGTACAAAAACATAGTTTTTTTGTGCTGTTAGAAGGAGGCCATCAGTTGTCTATTGCAGCAATGCTTAACTGAATATGGAGTCTAAAAGATTTGCTTAGTATCATTAATTGACTGTAAAATATTTATCCAATAGCTTTTAAGTGTACGTTTGAATGTTCACATGTAAACTAAAAGAAACTACCACAATTTTGGTAACGAAATATAAGCCCCGATAAACAACCTAATAGATTTCATCCGAACAACCTTGCGTTTTGTGTGCACTATTTTCATGCATGTTATTTATTCTTCATATATAGCTTATTGTAAACGCTATAATTATCATCATTAAAACATTATTAAAAAGATACAGGCTAACGTCAGTCACTTACCGATGATCGAAAGTTCCTAGAAGAATTATATTCTAATTAGTCACCATTCGATTTTGACAACAGCACCGTGTCAGTAAGTCAATCAAGTGATTGCATAGTCCGGAAGTAAATCTGTAATCAAGCCGTACTTATATAAAATCTAGAAACAATTTACCACTGCTTCCACTACCGCCTTGAACTATTTTTTCCAGTTTTTATACATGCAGCTTTTTTACCCAAACTACGGTACATGCGTTCATAGGGAAGTTGCGGTTTTCTAGTAGTCTCTGCACGTATTACGACACTTTGCCACTATTTTAGTAATATTAACATCTCAGCGACTTTTGCTTAAGGCTGCCTGCGTACAGCGCCCCTAACAAAGACGAGTTTCTCCTGTCAAATGGCCAACACCTTATCAAGGCAGACACAACGTCAATGGAGCGGCTCAAAATGGTGAAACTACACGGAACGGACGACGGCAAAAGGCGACTCCCGTGTCTACCAGTGCAATTTGTTAAAAGCCAAAAGACGGCATAGATGTCTGCATACAATGCATGTAAGTTAAAATAGAAAGAAAACGTTAGCTGTGGCGATCATAAGATATTTTCATCGCTTCTGTTTTGCTTGACAGGCAGTCAGCATTCTGATAATTGGTCCGATTTCAAATGATGTGATTGAAAATGCTTAAGTACTGTGTACCTCAACGTCTGCCGCGCATGCGTTTGTTCCCCTGTGTTTCGTTCAAACAAAATAAATGTAGTGAGGCGCTGTCATAAATAAATTCGTCCATAACAGAATAGTGGAGGAGAGGACCTTGTGTTCAACTGGCTTACACGCATACAGATGAATTCGCTAAGTCTCAAAGCTGGTGCTCTTCATAATATGGCCTTACTTTGCTTCTTATAGGTTACTAAGCGAAACCTGCAATGGCTTTGCCTTTTCTTCTAAAAGGAGGCCGCGAGTGTTTGCCTGATGCGGCCGTGTCACCTGGCGGCCAAGGACTTGATGGTAATCTACGTATGTTCTAGCTATAGTCTGTCTATTTTATTGTGAGTTTGAATACGCACGGGGCATTGTTTCATGAATAGTTGTTTCCGTGCATGCAGTAGTGCGAACAGAATCTCTTGGGCTATGAGAAATGTGTAGGTCTGCGAATGACTTGAAAGTAATTGATTTTTTTCTATATGATCATTATAGTTGTTAATATATCTTTTCCTTTTCTGTTCGAATCGATTCAACAAGTTCTGTTAAGCTACAGTCATAAAATGATCACAAATATGTTTTAAGAAAAAAATCTATTATTCGTCCAACTGTTCTAATTAAAACAAAACACAATAGAAGAGCTCTACAAAACGTTCTAGACTTGCTCTGGACCCGTCATACGCCTGACAATAATAATGGCATTGGCTTGAAGGGTCATTACCGTTACAGAGCACATGATTAACGACAGTAGTTCATGACGAACAACCCAAAATGCTACCAGAGTACTAGCGGATTATGCTGTATCACACACACACATTTACAGCCTTAGCACGAAACTTGAAACAGGCGCTTTTCATCAGACAAATGACAAGGCTCCGGGAGAATGGTGCACACTTTTTAAAATTGTACTTGCTTTCCAGCGTTGATAAAGTACGCTTATTTGAAAAAAAAATCAAACATAAAACTAACGCAAAAAGCTAAGAGAAATAAGATGTAACGATAGAATTCCACAGCGAATTGTACAATGGGTGGATCTTGCCTGCTGTCTTCCATTCAGCCAGATTTGTCTCGTTAGGTTAAATACGAGGGTTGAACTACCCTAGAGATTTTCTCTAACATTTGAGATATGTTTTCCTGATTATTACTTCGGAATGGCGGTGTAAGTTCCCTAAATTTAAGTCTTAAAACCTCACCTGCGTGAACTCTCAGAAAGCCATTAGAAACTTGACAGGAATCGTTCTGACCGAACAAAATCTAACAACTCTAATAAGAATAAGCAGTCAATATTAATTTTGCGTTTTCACAACATTATGTTTGTGTGAATCAGATATTCAATGCCGGCCACCGATTTACTGGAAACAGCATGCTTTTGTATGTTAATATATGGCGTTCCCAATATAACATTAGTTACCGAATAACTAAGAAAGTTGTTACACAGAGCTCACGAAACTGATAAGAAATGATACCGCGAGTATTCCACACATGCTTAAAAAAAAAACAAACCTATTTGTTTTGTCTTTTTTTTTTAAGGTTAAGGGCAGATGCATTATGCAGGCCAGGCACTGAATTGTGTTTCGTCCAGTACTGCGGGACTCTCACCCACTAAACCCTGGACCTCCTTATCAGCTTGGATCATGGTTCGGGATATGTTTGATATTACTTCGAAACCATGACTTGCAGGAACGGTCATTTCATCATCCTTCCCTTTGAACCGTTCCAGTCCACCCTCCGTTCTGGCTTTCCTCTTGACCAGGTACTCTAGGTCTCAAGGGGAACCGTGCTCCCTGTTCTCCTGTTAATTCCAATTGTACTGCGTCGGTCCCATGATTGTTTCGGGCCTGCCCTTCTGCTATTCTCTTACGTCTCGTCCTTTCTAGTTGTTCCTTTCTTTTCATAACATCGTCAAAGAAAGCCGTAACTTTGGCCCAGTTCGTCCTGTCTTTTGTCATCATATCCACCATTTCCTTAGTACTGCCCTTTGCTACGACCCTTCTGTGTACCTGCTTGTCTCTGACCGCTTTAAGTACCTGACAGTGAAGAAGAGTATGTTCTACTCCGTCCTTCATGCCCGACACGCAGAGTACACATATGTCTGCTTAAATTTATGTTGCTTTGTGTTGCATATGCGATCCGGTGATGGCGTGGCCGACGACGATGAGGCTGAAGAGTTCGTAAAATAAAAAGGAATGCCGTGGGATTGCGCTTAAAAATGGCTCGAAGTATCTGTGATTTTGGATCGTGGCGCCACGAACTAACAGCCCTCAGTATTCGGGTTGATACATTGTCGAACCATATCAATGTTTCAGAGTTTACCTATTTCCTTGAATAGATAATACTTAGCCGCTCGCAGCCATGATTTCCTCATGTCTATTACGCAACACAGCAACATATTCAATGAGTAAAAGATGGCGACGATGTTAAAATCTATGATACATTTGGATATAATTGGCGACTTTTGATCAATCCCGTCGACCGCGTCAAGTTTCAAGGAGGTCAACTTTGATTTCGGCGTAAGAAATTGAGCAGACTCAGAATAGACGTCCCTTATACCCTGCGCAAATTCTACGGCATGTACTACTTATTAAACACAATGAGCGTTTGTATGTATAGCCACTAGAGAATTAATATTACTAGAAGAGAACTATCGCCACTAAATGATTCAGATTGTTTTAGTAACACTGTAGAAATGTGTGCACGTTAAAAACAGAAAAAAATCATCATATTATTTCAAATGCCTATAGCGAATGCTCTGCTTCGCAGGCCAAAGTTATTGACTTCATCATATAATAAGCATATTATTAAATCAATAGTATTACTTATTTTCTTACATTTTGGCTGTGGTATTTCTGTGGTATTGTCGAATGCTTGAAAACAATCGAGCCACGCTATAACCGAATAGGGGAGAGCTCTTATACTATTTAGACGTTGTTGTATTTCAGATAAACAGGTATGTCGATACCACCCGGTAGTATAAGGTAAAATAAGTCAATATAGTTCTCAGATGAGAATAATTTTACGTTTTTATAATATGTTAAAGTGAATTTAATTAAGATAGATTATGCTGTACACTTAAGTTTAAGGAAAACTTCAAGTCGACTTCCATTGGATTTAGTTTTTGCGTTTTTTTTTTTAATTAACTTAAAAACTCAGAGAAAACAACACTAAATCACGGTGGCCATGCATATTAAGATCCGTGCACATTATTATATTCTAAACATACTTACTCCCATATTTCAAACATCTGTAGGAATAGTATTTCAGATACTTCTCCAACTGTCAACAAAACATATTTGTATGGAAGATATAACAGGAGACCGTTCACTGGCCAATAGTGCAGCACGTACTACGCAGTGGATAAGTCGCCAATAACACACAGTCGCATTACTGCAAACCAAATAACCTATAAATCATTCGCAGTCGCCTTGTCCATATACGATGTGAAAGAGAACTTACCTCAATATGTATCTGTAATCGATGGCAACCAGCGAAAATGCTGAAGGGCAAATCGCAGGTAAGCCTTTGGACTTAAGCTATTACAAAGAAGTTTCTTTAGTGCGGACACAGGAACCATAAATTCTAGCTTAAGTGTTTTAACGAGCAGCCTTGACATACCAAATTAACCATAGTCCTTACAGAACTTGATGCCATTTTGAGAAACGCGGAACGCTTACAAGCAGTTCACAGAGTACAATATGCTAATGTAGACAACAAAAAGATAAAAAGATAAAATTGTTACCTCTGGACACAACTACAGTAGAGAAAAAGTATCTCGCTTACTTTTTTCGGCTCTGTTGTTTTCTATACTCAGCTGCCGCCCATCGATATTCGAACCCCTTCGCCAGCCGGTATATCGATCTCCAGAGGAGCAATCGGTCGAGAATCGAAAGATTTAGGTTCACACAGGTGAATTACAGATTCGCACATAATGACGTGTCTGCAGCTGGCGCTTTAGGTCGCATTTCTTCATCCAGTTCGCCGAACAATAGCCCAAGTGTATGCTATGGTGAATCAATTAGTCTTCAGATACGTCGGAGGTTGCTTTTCGCACGAAACAAACGGCGCTTACATACGCTCCTTTTGAAAGATAAATATACGCAAAGTTTAATACTGCTGAATTAACCATGCGTAAAAGCTTTTTACGAAAACAAATATAAACTAGCACCTCTTTAGTCATTTGATACTCAGATTATTCATAAAGTAACAAGTTATTACATGACTTGTTTTATCGCGCTACAGGAAAGGACATATAATTATATTACAAGTCACGTATAGCAGTCTTGACCGCGTAGAAACCTACACACCGCATTAGAAACGCTACAGAATATACGCACCCAAATATTTATTCCATTTTCTTATTAATAAAAGTACGTGGAACAATATTTTGTGGATATTTCTGTTCGATTTATATTGTACACTCAATATTTACGTAGGAAGTTATTTTCAAAGAGGTTCTAAGGGGGCTGGTTAATGGACCAATTTCGTATTTGTTGAGAAAAAAAACGATGCAAATGGTATCTAAGCAAATATTTGAATGTTTATTTTCAATATCATTAATCTATTCATCATCCGCGAACTGCCTGATTATTTTCCGCTTGAAGTAGATGTATTGTATGAAACATGTTTGCTGTATAGTTTTTGTTGAATTTGGTGTCATGATCCAGTGGAGCGCTTTCGGTAACGACTGATCCTGAGTCAAAAAGGTAAGCAGGTATGAAAAAAAAAAAAAGATTTTTAAAATACATACAATTAACACAAATATAGAGTTTCAGTTAACCTACCATCACACAGAAACTACGCCAGCGACTAGTTTACGAGTTTATGAATGTGATACGATATCTGGCCTTGGACTAGGGACATCTTTAATAATACGCAATTCCTTTCCAGTTCTTTTCTAGGTCAGTTCGCTAAATGTTATTCCTGTAGACAATCTAAATAATACAATCATTGAAAGTCCGCTGCGTTAGTGGCGTAAGACATTTATTTAAGTCTGTTTAGCCACATATGTGCTGCTTGGAAGTGCTAACACTTAAGATAAAACAAATAAGAAAAATGTGGCATAGAAAAGTATATACGTTTTTTGAATCAGGTTTGCGTATATTCGATTACATTTGATGGACCCACTAGGGCAAAGTCTATTTCGTGTGTGCCAAATGTAAGGTTCAGTCCCGACAATTGAACTTGCTTCCGCCGAGACTACTGGCCATCGTTAATACTCAAGTTTTTTTCTTCATACTTTAAACCAACCCGGATCTTCTTTTAATACTATTACATCACCATATAGCCATCAACTTACGTTATACTATGCTTGTGATTTAATGAGGATAGTGTAAATCATGTTGTTCTGCAACAGATTTTCGCATAGCATACGGGCCTCATCTAGCGAATATGACTTGCAATCAATCAATCAATATCCATGTTGCAGTCACCCGAAACTCATGGGCGAAAAAAATCTATTACTGAGATAAACTGTTCCTTTTGAGCGGTCGGTCAGTGCAGTACCAAAAAACTTCTTTGAAACGCATATAGCTATTGAGTGCTATAGAGATTATATGATTGCAACAATCCAACCTCAGGTTGCGTTTTACCTTCAAGATGAGTCGACGCATGTTACATGAACATCGAGATCGTGAGGACGTGCTGACTTTCCTGTGTCCCTGAACAATTTAATTGCCGTAAACTAATACGGCAAGCCAAGTTTAATGTTTCCTATTAAGAGACACTAAATGAAATCTAAGGTTTCTAAGATGAATTCGTTAAACTACTTCGCAATTGTACTGGTAGAAAGGAAATAGCATAAAATTTCAATAACTTAGTTGGTAGATGCTTATTTTCGGAAGAAATTTTCTATATCGATACAAATTCGTCCAGTAAAGTACGAAAATACCTATCTGTAAAAATCTGCGATTATTACCAAATACACTGTTTTTAAGCGAAGAAAAGAAACCAACAAACTGTAGCGAATAGTTTTACGAGTACATCTGATCGTTTCATGTAAGGGATTTTTAGCAGAGTATTTCTGTTTTTGCCATTTTTACATAAACAATGTGCGTGCTTTATAGTTCGCTTTGAACATCGACTAAACGTTAGATTGTTAATAGACCAATCACGAGTCTTGAAATAATGGACGAAAAAACACATCCAAATTGAGGATATCACCTGTAGAGCATACTGAGTAAACAAAAGCTAGATAGAAGTTAGAAAGGTCTAAACTGTTGCCTCGTTCTCAATTAACGTTTAATGTTTTCGCACGATTGAACGGTCTTCGCGTATAAGAAATCATCGTATACAACAACTATCACTATGAATGGAAATGAATGAAGCGTCAACTGTAGCCGCAAGCTGCCTGGATGAACTTAGAGCAATGTTTTATCCATTGAGAAAGTTGCAAAATGATCGATTGCATAATCTCAGTCTTAATGGTGGTCTGAAAGCTCATTCTGATTTTATTATAAGTTACGCTACTACAGATGTGACCAAACCTTTCTGAATATTGGCATTAATGATGAGGTTATTTCGAAGCGTAACTTTCACATGTAAATAGATCTCATCAGATAATGCAAAGTCAAAAAACGTTAGCGCTCTTTTCATATCCGATTATGTTTTGTGGTTAAATGTATCAAAGGCAAAAGATGCTTTGCTTTGGGTAGCACAAAAATACCTGGGTTTAGTTTTTGAAAGCGCACAACTGTGGGTTTTTAACAAAGCAACTTCGTTCATTTGTATTCGAATTTATTAGTTCGACCACACCTGAAAGCTCTCCGATGTCGTACTAACGTTTTCTAACGCTTCAACCTGGAATTATTCTGTGTATTAATTTATCACGTAAAAGTTTTTATTTTCGTAACCTTCCTTGTATATCCGTCTTTTACACACTTTCTATTCACAATTATATCTACACTTCTGCGGTGTGCAAAATTTGACTATTGAAAATATGTTGACGGACCTTCATCTACAGTGCTTGTATTTTAGATAGAATTATGACTCAGTCACTGCTAATCTCACTGGTATCATAGAATTCGGAGCCCCCAATTACTGATGGGGATCTCTCCTTGAACAGGAGAGTAAATAAATTCACGAAGAGGTTAAACATATATGTATATATACACGCAAATAATATTAAGATCTGAGAATTCCGAGGCTTTTCCAGATATGAGCAATAGGGGTGTCGGCTAGTAGTTCGATGGTCAGTGTGTGAAGCTTCCTTAATATCTCGTCATTAAGCTTCGCCTGTCCTTCGCCAATGAGACCCTTGTGAGCAAACACCGAAATAAACTTCTCTCTATCTGAATTTTCGGTCTGAATTCGCTTAACACTGTGACGCTGATCCTGACTGAGGTGATCTCCTGAGAATGCAACATATGATACAGTAGGGGAACATGAATTAATCATTCAGTAGATAAACTGGGGTGCTCTTTCAGCTAATCAGGCAATAAAATCCGTACTGTTTTCACAGAGTCAAAATGAGCCCGATTATTATAAATCCTATGCGGCGTACATATCGCGATTATTGTGTAATGTGACTGTTATTTATATTATTTTTTTTTCTAAAAAGTAGTACATAATCTCGAATGAAGGATTACCTCGGATGAATAAACTGTTGAGAGCCAACAGCGTGACATCAGTGTTGACACGGTAACACACTACGGCTTAAAATGTGTACTTACCATCAATAGCTTTACAAACGATGTCAGCGACCTGTTTCTGTATGAGCCTCCTTGTCCGATTGATAGTACACTCCTCTCGAAGCCTTCTCAATTTGACTTGAGTATTTCCCTCGGAAAGCCATTTTTCGCGACCGATAAATTTGAGAAGCTCCCTTATAGTGCTATTGAAGTCTAGCTGAAGCTGTTCGTACGACACGACGTGAAGATCAAATTCGGTGCTCGACAGCCAGTCCTTGACATGCTTAAAATAGCTGCCGTAATAACACTCGTCTTTGAGAAAGGACTCCGAAAATTCTTCAAGGCTTTTACAGGCATACTCATCGCCGTAGAGACTGGCCAGTGTTTGACAGTGGTAATGGTAAGACACAATGACATCGGCAGGATTTCTACATAGGTAGATCACTTTGTGCAATCTACGAGATCTGGCGATTTCTCGTGGTTTTCTACGTTTCACAATGATTTCATCGGATTCACTGTCATACTCGGACACCGGCTCGGCCGACGATTTCGACTTAACCGTCTCAAAAAAACCTATCGGTAGGTGACTAAATACAATTCGAGGCTGATTGCTAATATTGACTGTAGTCTGGCCATTATCGCCAGCTGCCTCAAGGTAGACGGGTGCTTCAGTTGTGCCGAAGTCCGTGAGTATGAGTGACAAAATGTGGCACAACCAATGAGTACCAGCTTTTGGGTACGATACAATTAAAATATCGTCTCTTGGCTGGTGGTATCCGCGGGCACGTTCTATAAACTCCGGTTGAAAATGCCCGGGTAGGCGGATTCCATCTACGATCAACATTCATGTAATAGGGTTCCGAGGTGTACATGAAATGTACTGAATAATGTAAAATCGTCGTTGAAAACAGCTTCAAACAACAATTAAATATAACTGTAAACAAAAAAAGAACAGGCAGGATTGTTACCTAGAAGAAACTAACAGTGTGCTATTTGGCTCTGTTTTGATTTAGAGTTTTTGCCTGCGTATACATACGTAACATTTAAATTTCCCGCGCTTGGCTAGATGTGCTATGTGCGTAGCAACCATGTTGCACAACAACCTTGTTGACTAAATAATATGTCTATAGACCAGCTATAATTACAACATACAGACTTGCAGGCGCCTTTTGTTTCGGCTAATAAAGCGGTATATATATATATATATATATATGTATTACAAGTGAACAAAAGTTTTAAGTATTCTGTGAATGCTATTGTTTTTAGAGCTGCATGCCGATTCGGTATCTAGTCATGTCAACAACAAAAGAGGCGCCGGCATCATTTCGGTCAATGTTGATTGTTGACGGTGGCGATTGTAAGCATCGAAGTTTGTTGGTGTGTAGGGTTCGTCTGATGCCGTCTAGCAGTGCAAAAATTGGCAAGAAGTTTTTGAAATTTGACAGCGGTGACCGCCTGCCGTAGTAATGACGTCGCCTCGAATGCAACAAGCTTCGCCAAGCCACTCGCCATACCGCGATCTCGTGCATCTTAAGCATGTTAATCAGGAAGCTCGACAGCAGAGTCCACGCAGAGCCTGCGTTTGTTTGGCAATTGCTTTGTTCCTCTATGCCGATATCTATCACTTATCAATTCTTAATAGACTGTTATATTTGCCCGAATTTGTGGATTATGTTAAAGGCGCCACGCTAGGTGGTTCTTTGCTATTGTGCGTGGGACATATCGCGTCGTTTGCGTACGCCCACCTCATGCCTGACCGGGAAATCGAAGATTCTTGCGCCAAACTTTTGAATATTTCTAAAGACGATCTCGGTTTCAAGGTGAATCCCGACCCGCAGCTTCAGACGCCCGCTTCCTCGCCTAATGTTGAGCGACTGCCCGCAGGATCATTCTGTCTGCCCTCTGCGCAAAACTCGTTTAGTGAGTCGTTCAACAATTCGGTCTCCTCGACTTCATGGCAATTTCAGCCGTCTGGCAGACCTTATCGCCTATCAGACCCCACGTACGAGAAACTTCTGAATCAGACACGTTATCCGAACTCACGCGCTCTCGATTGGCATATCGAGGATGAGGAAAGCGCCGAAGCCTATCTGCTCGAACGCAGCCGTGAACAACCAAGTTTCGTTGGTGGTTTATCTGACGAGTTCGATTTCCAGCCCAGCAGAAGTAGAACGTCGCTGATTGATGCTGGAGTGGAAGCAATTCACCGGTTGTTTCAAGCACAGCCGTACAAAGCTGCCTCTCCGTCGCAGGTCGAGAAAGAAAAAAGCACCGAATCAGGTTCAGCTCTCATTTGTCGCAAATGGAACATCGACGAGAAGCAACTCTTTAAATGGAACCGGAACTTGCGTTTTTGGTTCCATAAAGAAGTTTTTTGCCCGCTAGTTGAACAAATAAATGAAATCAACAAAAACATCAGTAAGTTTGGCTATGGCCGTGAATCTCTAATAGGTGTGGCTAGCCCGAGTCAGCTTCGTCTTTTAGCGGCAAACAGGGGTTCTCAACTCCTTGGCCTTGAAAATGTCGTTCCTTTTCTCGAAATAACGACTAATCAGCAATACCTTGTTGAACGTTTCAAGGAATTCGCTATTGGAGGCGCCTTGTCCAAGATGAACTGGAATCATGGGGGCCCGACCTGGAACGACCACCTCCCACCGGACGCGGAGATACTCATGTTTTCGTTTTGTACGTACATTGACACGCGTCTTATGCCAGATCCAGAATTTCCAGACGGCCGTCAGTTTACCACGTTACACACAAAGGATTCGTTGCACGAGAAGTCGATTGACACAACGGGTCGTCCTCAGGTACTCATCCATCACCGAACGAAAAACCCACCCCATTACCTGCTTCAAATGGGGGACGAAATTTTTGACGTCGGCTTAGGCTCTGCAAACGCTCTCCATACGATTATTTCATTCCTTTATCACCAGAGTACCCGAAATGATGGGCGAATCTGTCGCATGTCCATGGGCCCTACCGGAATCGACGTACTTACGATCATTACTTAAAACGACTGGATGTTGTAACCGACAGCGAAAGAGAACAACCATTGTTTTTTATTGGCCTTTTGGCGGTTCCTGAAACGTAAATATCTTGTGTATCGTTATCTTTCAGCTTTCCATGAGGTTGCTCGGATCTTTGTTAATAATGTGATGTATAAACACCGTTTGGCTATCCTTGAGCGCACAGTTTTAGATTTAATGACACGAAAGCCATTTCAACGAGACAATGGAGTTAGCACGCAAATGTAATCTTTCAAAAGATACTGAAGGTTCACAATTAGAATGCTGCCAGACAAAATACCTCCTACGGGAATTATGGATGTAATAGTATTGATGGCTCTTCATTGTTGACTGATACATCATTCTGAGGAGTAAAAAGCTGTGCGTGAAGCAAGAAAAAGATTAGTCTAGATTTTGTAAGACGTTACGGCTCGGAGAAAGAAGGAGGCCGAGCAGTTTCGAATCTTGATCAGGATGGAGAGAATACGTTTTGGGAAATTTGAAGTATCTCGAACCGCGAAGAGCGAGCTAGTGTCTAATTATCGATGAGTCAGGAACGACGCAAATAGGCTAGACGTGGGTCAGTTAGTTAGTGAGTTTGTGATACAGCTGGTAGATTACCAATGCTGTCGAGGCCTGGGCATAAACATCTGCAACACGTAGCCAATATAACAAAGCGCAGGGCTCCATATACCTATGGATCTATTACTCTACACAAAATGTCGAGAGTATAATTACGACTTAAAGCATCTTAGTACAAATTTCAGAATACGATGACAAGAAAAACAATGTTTGTAAGGTAAACAAACATTTAAGTGAATGCATTCGGTTTGCTCACAGCATGAAAACGGGCAAACTTGTTTAAAGCCATCTAATTACTCATTGCGCAATAGTTTTCACTAATTTACGAAAGTGCTGCTAATTGCTATCGACGTAACTACAATAATTACGCAATTCGATTGTCACATATTTTTTTTAGTTAGTATCTCTATAACTTTATTCAACATAATACATGTAAGACATAGTATGTTCCAAGATAAGATCGCTGAAGTGTGCACGCACATACGACGGGCAACCGGTCCATGTAACTGGAACGTGCAGACATGCCAACGTATTATGATTGCTAATCATGTCAACAACTTGATTGTAAACATTTTGGGCATGCCAATAATCCGACGTAGAACACTTCGTATATATATAAACATACCTAAACTTGTTGTGTATGCAAGATGGTTTACCTAAGCCTGACTGTAGAACACATGTAAATAGAACTGTATTATTATAGTGTTTGTTTTTACTGTTGTTGAAATACGACCTAAGAATCACAATAATTACGTAAACGAAAATTAATGTAAGGAGAAAAACGGATTTCCTCAATGAAATATAGAAATGAAATAAATAAAACTAAACATACTATGCTCTTACGTCGTCTTTTTCGAAATCTTAAAAAATCGGCATTATCCCCTTTCATAAAATGCTTTCAGTGAATGAAATTGGTACGGTTCATAACGAACGAAGTCGTTCATGATGGTTTAGCGATCGAAAACTAAAAAGCGCCATTTTTAGACAATATTCCTCCATTGCAGATTTCACAGTGATGAAATTTTGCATGTTGCATTATCATTCATCGTCACTAACGAGGCTCCTAAGAAGACTGTATTCATCTTATTACTGTCGGACTTCATTTAACTATACTTAATGTATTGGACACTTGTTCATGAGGATATTCAAACCTTTACATGTGATTTTTTTTCATTCTATTTTATGATAGTTGTGTAACATATTTGCTAGCTAACGCTTTCGGCAAAGCAGTCTAGTCTGCACTAGACAACATTAAAGATGTATTTTTTTTTTTTAAATTTACTCGCCAGACTATGTTCTGTTTATTCAGCCGTGGGTTGTCTTTGTTTTCTTTCGTGGGTCTTTGTCGCAGGTCTATACCGTTATCCTCGGCATTCCATCAGCCGCATCAGCTTTATTTGAGAATCATCTGGCTAAGCCTCCATTTTTGCCGAAATACAGCTGCTCCATGTTGACTGGCACCTCTACCGCTGATGACGATAATGCTCGTTCAATGGAGAAAACAGTGGCGTTTAGGCTAAAGCGCTCCGCCAGCGGCCGTTTTGGCTTTGCTATACTGCGGCACCGTGCCCCTTTTTTACCACCATAACATTCTTTGGTGTGGAGTCCTTGGCGCCAGCGCCCGCTGGCCGTCAAAAAATTTGGCTGCTGGCACTCAGCTGTCGGCATCTACTAGTGTCGACCCTCACCCAGAAATCGTCGTAGCCTTACATTTGGTTATGTCGGTCTGCTTTTTGTGCGCGAATCCACTGTCTCTCTCCCTACTTTTCTCCCACCCACCGGACTACCAATCATCCAGTACGAATCGGCTCTGTTTGAAGTGAGCTGACCCGATCGGAATTACCCTCTCTCATTCCGCTAGCACCGACTAGCTTCTGCCAGCTTATGTACCGATGCGCGTTAGCAACCAACAGTCCCTGAGCGCTAAGCAGCAAACTCCACGCGCTTCAAGGGGCTCGCCCTGTAATTGCTAGTCGACTCAGTTAACGAGTCGGCAAACCTGGCGGATTTATTTTACCTCCATACGCCCTTTACTCATACCATTCTTTCCCTCGTCAATGGTTCCGCACAGCCGACATCATCAAATTACCCCCGGAATCTTTACGGCTATGTGTGCGAAGGCGCCAGCCTGATAAAGCATCAAGCAACGGTTGGGTCCGCTAGGTCGCCATCGTCAGCGGCGCTAGATGGTTCGCTCCTAAACACCGCAGACATATATCGGCAATTCGAAGAGAGGGGTATCTTTGTGTCGAAGTTGCTGTTATTGAATGGTGGCTTCATTCTTCGTGTTTCTCTGTTTTTGCTTTCTTCTGGCGGAGGGAAGTGGTCGTTCGCGTTGGTGAGGATCTAGCGTCATCCGGCGAGTCGCATTAGGACGAACAAGAAGAGACCTAGGCGATCTGTAGAATATATCTCGAAGTGCTTTCCTTTGCCGCTAGTAATCAACCATAAGCAACATTTCCCAGAACCTCTTCATTTGATGTCACTGGTGGAAAACTCTCGGCTACGCTCATTACGTAATCGGGGTTAGTTCAGCTTATCATTCTTAATCCCGAGGGAATAAGCTATACAAGAGGTATTCAGCACTGTGCGTGAAGTTGCTGTGTGATGAATCGATAAGGTAGTGTCGGTGCAGCTCTCAGTGATTCATACGTCGTGTCTGGTTGAGGAGGGCGTCAGAGTCTTCCCCCGTACCCTGGCTTTTCTCCAATAGTTTCGGTACGCAACTGCAGACAACTTTGCCGTAGTCATTATCCCAGCATGCATAGCTTGGATATGCCTACTGATGTGAATCTTTGAAATTCGTGTTCACGACAGGATCTTTCTTTGTAACTTTTATAGCAAGAAGGACTCGGCTTTCTAATTACATTTATTGATAAGCCAGTTAATTAGTTAGCGGTCAATCAGCCCCTGTACAATGGTCTACTTATAATAGGATAAACTAATACCATATTTATATGTGGTCACTATATAGTGCAGCACAACAGAAATAGGCTGTCGATCCAAACAAATCAAACGAAATCCAACACCGAACTGGGTGTTAGTGACTGACTAACAAACAAACCAACGCGTACTGGCTATTGCGTTGGCCGCATCGTTTTAAGAAGAAGCAGGAATTATGTGACTTTCATGTTGATAATTCGAAAGCGATTCGCTCCCTCTCTGCCAGTCACCTTCTTCGATGTAGCTGAGAATCAAGCCGAAAGCTAGTTAGCTTAAAAAGACGATTGTATTCAATATCGGCCCCGTGTAGCAGTTGTCCGTCTCCCTTTGCCACTTATTGATACCTGCGTGCGGTTATTTTGTCCTGTTTCGTTGGAACGCAAACGACCGATCCACACAACTGGTCGTCGGTGGCTGTTCTGCTGCGACTCGCTGTCTATCAACTGTGAAAACGGCGAAGGCAACAGTGCGACGGAACAGATAGCGTCGCGGAATTGACTGGCCTTCCGAAAGGATACACCCTACTCTGCCACACTTGGCGTGCCACACAGTACGCGATTTGTCGGTAGGTGAAATGCAGAAACTTTATGGTTAGAAGAGCGGATATCGCAGATGCTTAATCTCTGAACAGACACTAACTGTTAATATGTGATACGTTTGTGTAGACATGATTGGTTTATCGGTGTCCATTCAATTGTGTAAAGTAAAAACGGCATTAATTGTATCTGCTTGAAGCCTGGGGCTGATGGTTGAATATGCAAGCCGTGGCTCACTAGTAATGAGTAGAGGCAAAATTTGTTAAAATGAACTTTTAGCGCAAGGGAACGTACGGAGGTAAGCAACAAAATATGAAACAGTTCGCCTCGTTTACGCATCAATGGAAGGTAAAAGTACGTTTAGCTCTTGTGCGTCTGGAATCTTTCATTAAAATGCCGGATAGGTTCCGTTGAGTTACTTGATGATAGACTATAAGAAGATGAATGTTATTTTATTAAACACAGAATTTAGGTGACGGAGACCACGGATAACGTCTAGGTGACTTTGAGAGCAAACTATGAGGCATATGTGTAAATTTTGTTTCCATGATTTCGCAAATCTTCCTTATACAGTGTCTCTATTCACCGTAATTAGAATACGTTTAAAGTACATGTACATGTATGTAGTCTCCAATGAAAACGCTCAAAATGACGTAATCGACTAGGTGTATGTATACTTGCGGGACAATGGCTTTTGCGTCAAAGAAAACACGTCTGTTTATCAAGCACAGCAATATCTTAGTTGCCACGCTTCAATAATTTTTGAAAAGCTAAGCCTGAACCTATTTCCTTAAGTCCTGTGTCTGTGTGGGTGCTTTGTTACTACGTTACGAATTTTCGAACTTGTGACATCTCAGTCGACGGGTCAATCAATTAGTATATCGATAGTTTGGCTGGCTGCCTGGATTAGGCAAGAATTCTCTACATTAAAATTTATTCAAAGGCAACATAATAGGTATATTGTTAATAAGCTAATCCAGTACATGTGTATTATATTGTATGATACACTTGACTGCTTATTGTGATACTTGCATCTGTTGGCCGGTGATAACCACCATATCACAGACACTTTATGCAAAACAATCAACGATGTAACATTTATAATATTAGATTAGTGAAGCAGTAAGAAACAATTCTGAGCACCATTCTGGAGCTGGAGAACAAATCTAGGCGTGGTGTAGAAACGTTCACAGACAATAGAATTAATAATGCGTTCATCGCGTTAATGCCATTTAAATTTGAAACTGCTATGTTGTGTGAAAACACAGCAAACCGTTAGCTCTTGACGATTTGACAAACTGCCCGTTAAAGTTTATACTTTTCCGTAGTAGGCAATGTGGGGCGGCGCTACGTACTGTTCGTTCAGCCTTCATGTCGTTGTTTTCTTGTGAGCAGACCCGGGTCTATCGGAAAGCTCTACTGGACACCCTCATTCACTTTCTTCAAAATATATAATTGATTGAAACATGAAAAGACTAATATTGTACATAGTATTGAAACGAATAATAAAGACTAATTGGTATGCGCTATCGGAACCCGATTGGATGCCGCATTATCTTGACAGATGTAACTGTAGTGTTATTTGAATTGCATTTTCTGTGTACTCAATAAAATGATAGAGAAGTACGATTTACTACTCAAAAAAGCTACCAAACATTTTTTAATTAGTACAATCGCAAAATACAGGACGTACATTGAATGTTATAGAATGGATATATATATATATATGCCTTATTATTTTGTATTGAATAATAGTGTTTTGCTACATGTATACGACAAACGAGACTCTTATGTTTCATTAAGCTATCGATTAGAGATAATAGAATTTTTATAACATTAATAAATCTGTACGTTGATCTAAAAAATGACACTGTTTTTTTATAATTTTGACGAAGATACTCTTCATATCCAGAAGAGACATACATGTTGCATCATTTTGAGCGGTTCTAATGACCAGGATAGCTTAATGAATACTGAGAGAATGCGCGGTGCCCTTCTCTATATTTAATTTCTGAGCGATAAATATGTACGCATTCATTCTTTTCAAATACTCGTTCCGCAAGCGTGTGTATAACAAGCCGAGTTTTCTTACCAATAACGGCGTGTCAACTCACCCCACTAGATTTTTACAACAAAATGGTAAATGTCGGCCTCGTTCCATGTTGTGCTTTACGTTAGCACTAACTCCTATGTTTACCAGGATCGTCATAACATATTGCTAACGACAATTTCTTACGTTGTTCTAATTAATCGCAGATTGGGCGCCAAAGAGGAACCATGGACTGTAGGTCACTGTGAGGTTTGTCGGAGAGGTTTCTGGTCAACAAGACAAACTTCTGGATTTACGTCGACCCATTATTTGCAGTAACAGAGTCGTGGCTGGTCGCCGTTGCCGTTTGTTGGTTCTGTATTGGTTGTAGCGTTGTTGCTTTTGAATTCAAAGAAGAACAAGCTGTAAGCGGCACCCATAATGGCGTCAGTATCTGGTGAGCTAACGACAACCTACAAAATCCTTGTACTCGGCGATTCAAATGTGGGCAAAACATGCATTGTGCATCGCTTTTGCGACGAACGATTTTACGATACCTATATATCAACAATCGGAATTGACTTCAAACAGAAAATCATCAATCTCGATGGAACGCCAGTTAAATTGCAGATCTGGTAAGAGCTTGGCAGCTTAATGTAGTTAATTTCTATCACTCCGTGCAACCTGTGTTCAGAATTGCTACCCCGCGAAAAGCTGTACGAAATATGTTGAATATGGTATGAAACCTTAGGGCTCATATTATTTTTATAAAACGGAGGAAAAATGTGAACACCAGCCTATATATTATTTCCTAACGAGTTTAAATCAATAATTATTAGCATAATCTACTCATCCGATGACGTTGAGATTCATTTTGACTGACTTTTGCTTTAACAGGGACACTGCCGGCCAGGAGCGGTTTCGAACCCTGACGACAGCGTATTACCGAGGAGCTATGGGAATCCTTATAATGTATGATGTTACTAACATGGATTCGTTCAACCATTTAACCTATTGGTTCCGCAACGTCGAGGAGGTCAGTATGATAATTTTGGCGCTGCACTTAATAGGTTTTATATACTTGATAGGTCTTCTTAGAAAAGCGATCTTACATTTAAGACGCTCAGTTCTCCTTAACAAATGATTGTTATTAAATTGTTCTCCTTAAGCTTGATATGATTGCATCGTTTCATTTTATGGGGATGCAGTAAAGATTCTATGTCGTTTTCTAATTTTTTTCTATTGGTTACATCGGACTCGTCATATGTAGAAGTTCCTTGCGGCTTTGTTCGTGGTTAAGGCTTATAATTTTGCTTTCAAATATGCTGTAATTTGATTCGTGTATCTGGATTTACAATAAATGTCGAATGTAGTGTTAACTTTTTAGTTTACTGACCGTCTGTCTTAATTTATTAGTAGAAAATACATCTATATATATCTATATTCATATTCAAAGAAAGAGCATAGCACAGGACGCAGTCTAATATTACCCTGACGTTTTGGCTGTTACAGAACGCTTCGCCTGATGTTGTGAAGGTCCTTGTTGGCAATAAGTCAGATGCCTCGTCGCAAAGACAGGTTGAAACCTCACAACTCGCAAAGGTAACCACATTTAATGGATCGTATTTATTACGTTATGTCAAATAGCAAATCTCAAGCACTGAAAGATACAATAGGTTGCAAGGCACATTATTATTGGCCTGGAAAAGTAAAAAATCACTGACAATTTCGACATGTACTGGTCGTCAATCATCGCGATAGCGTTTCAAAAAAAAAAGTAATCATTTATCATAGCTAATCACAAGAAAAACAAACGTATAATACAAATTCCGCTCTTACGCGGGCAGCTTTGATCATATACGATTATCACATGTGGTTGTTATAAATTAAATACATTAGATACGCGGCAGTTGGGTCTCTTTTTCGTACATGCTCTTTCGTACGTTTGAATAAAGTTTTCTTGAGTACTAATTGTGATTGGAAGGGTCTGTGCTGAAATTGATATGGGGAGTCCAACGACAAATCCTATTCTCCGATATATTCAAGCTGTTGCGATAAACTCCATCACAAACGAAATAGGCAATCAAGTAGATACACTTTATCGTCTAGCCCACTACTATTCACGAATGCTCCAATGATAGTTTTTTTTCCCTATGTTTCTTCTCTGTCGATTTTCATACGTTGTCGTTCTGCAGATGGCGGAACAGCTGGATATTGCTTATTTTGAATGCAGTTGCAAGCAGAACATCAATATTCAGGAAGCGTTCATCACGCTTGCCCGGCTCATCCGTAAGCAACGCGAAGAAAAAGAAAAGGCAGGAGAGGGTGCGGAGGATACAAAGGAGTGGGGCAAAGATATTAGTCTTCGCAAAGACGACCAGGTTAAAGAGAAATGCCAACAATGTTAGGCGTGCATCAAAGGAGGAAATGGTGCAGACGGCAGCGAATGGAATTTTCGAGGAGAGTGACAGGGGCTATGGCGAGAAGTCACGGAAAGTGGAGGGCGGTTCAAAAAGGACAACCATACGCGTTCGCGTACATATGTAATCTGTATCGATAGGAATCTCTTCCTCTCTGTATATATATATATATATATATAGAGCGATGATTCGTGAATGCTTCTATAATTTTGGGTACCGCCTGACGAAATGTTTCAAAAACTTACTGATAATTCGTGCATACTAGCCGTGTTGTAAATAGGTAGAGAGGTTTAGGGAGAATCATGAATGCCTATATTTAAAAACCTAGCTAACTTTCTAATGGGTCAAATTGGTTAGTTTGCTTATATTGTCACTGTGTCACCTCCGCCTATTGCTATCATCATTATGATTAATATCGTAATTAGTAATATATAATATAGTCGGTTGATGAGGCCAACAATCACATGGAACGCTACTATAAAAGAAAATGCGATGTTATGCGTAATTAAGTAGGAAGTTCACAAAAAAGATGCAGCATAGCTATTATCTATAAATTGTTTGTTGTCTCTACTAGCAGTCTCTACAACTATCGATCCGGTGTGAATGTATATGTCAAAGAACGTTGGTAATTCGACCCACATTCAAAGATACGTGGTGATGGAGCACAATTTAACGCAAAATTCGCTGTAGATTTCTCAGTTACTTCGAATCAATGAAAATTCTACGTTTTAATTCGTTTGACAGTGTATAATGTGCAGTGGTATGCAACCTCGTGGCCATAGACGTCGATTTAATGGGAATGGTTTCAATAGATGAACGGTGATTATAAGGTATAACAGTTACATAGTAACTGTATATCTGTGGTACTTTAGTCGATGTATGTTAGGATGATATTTAAATGAAGCAATACTCTAAATTTACATTTCTCTAGCTACATTAGTTGAAAAACTATATTGTGTTTCACATTTCTTTACATATGTGACTAAGCTGTGTCTTTTTTGGGTTTAAGTTAACAATCGGCACGACAGCTAATAGCCGTGAGTGGATTGAACCGGCCGGCGTGAAATCGACGTGCGTACAGCGAAAACAGGTCGCATTAAATGGGCGACAGTTATTTTGTACCTTTGTTCAACACTCAATTGTATTATAAAATATAAACGCGACCCTTTAAGTTAACTACTAATCACAAGATGAAGCATCAGGGCTTCTGTACCTCTTCAGTTGATAGCAATACCATAAGACAGATGTATATGTATACACACACACATATATATATATATGATTTTTGTTTGTAGTTGATTCATAATTTTCTACTCATATATAAATATTTAACGTGTACCGGCCGCACTGTCTGTACGGTGCTATATTTATTGCGTCTCAGCCTTAAAGGTGGCACCTTCCTGCACGAATCACATTTTGTCTAATGTGAAACAATATATACAACAGTAGAGAAAATATCTAATACTTACAAAGGCCTATTATGTTTTGTGAT